GGTTGTCGTGTTGGATACTCAAGTCCATTGACTCTTCATGACCGTGGCGCTAAAATCAAGCCAGGAACGCATGGAGATTGTTGGGCACTAAGACCAACAATTATGGCCGCAGTACCGGTTAGTTTTTTTTGGTAAATGAAATTTAGGTGTGTTCGAGTTGCAAAGGAGAAGATTGTCCATTTGGAAACATGTGCTACTGAATATTGTGAGCAAAGATTTTTGATCGGTTGAGGGTCATTTAGACACGTAGAGATGTTGGTAGTTGTTTGGGAGTCTGCCAGGAAAAATATTTGGCTGGAAATCAAGAGATGTAGAGTTAAATAATCATTGTTACTTTTAAGGCAATAATGGATAGGATATTCAAAGCTATAAGCGATGAAGTTGCATCAGCTCCACGTCTGATGCAAGAACTTTTCCGATTAAATTATGAACGGAAACGAGCGCGTTATCAGGAAGGATATTGCAGTCCTTTTTTGGACAGGTTTTTTTGTGAATTTCTCGAAAATGTTAAAACTTAAAAGTCAACTGAGTTTCCACCCAAAATTTTTTGAGGATTTGGAAATTTTGAGCAAGACATACATTTTAAAGAGCATATTGACATTTATTCATATGCATTTATTTGATAAAAACACTTTTATGTGTGCTTTTTTCTGGTGCAGATTTCAAATTAATTGATAATTGTTTGTAGAATTGTTTTCAAAAGGATTCGACGTCTTTTGGGCGGCAAACTGCGAGGTGTATTGAGTGGTGGAGCAGCATTAAACCCAGAAACTCAGCGTTTCATGAATATTTGTATGTGCTGTCCAGTTATTCAAGGATATGGATTAACTGAGACGTGTGCAGCAGTTTCTATTGCTGACGGTTACAAATTATCTTTTTTTTTTAATTATTGAAGTGGCAATAGCCATAGCATATTTTAGTATAATTCTTGCCATTGGTTTAAGGCGTCATTTTTTAGTGGTTTTTTTTTTTTCATTTTCGGTCCTTGTGCTAATCAAATACAATTTATTTTTCAAATACAAAAATCAAATACAACAAAATACAATTTAATTTAATTTATTTATTTTTCAGTGAATGACCTGAGCACAGGAACTGTTGGTCCACCTGTGCGTTGTTCACGAATACTTCTTCGCGAATGGAGTGAGGGTAATTTTTCTGTGTCATTTTACCTAATTCATTATTTATATGTCTCATCGGTAGCAAATAAGCATTTTATGCGTATCTTTCTTTGATTCAAAGGTAACAGTGCATCCACTCATATTGTTCGTTAGTATACAAAAGTTGTTTTTGTTCTTTTGAATATTTTTTACTTTTTTTTTTTACAGGAGGTTATACTCCATTTAACGATCCACCTCAGGGTGAAGTTCTGGTCAGCGGTTCAAACATATCACCAGGTTACTGGAAGCAACCTGAGAAAACGGCTGAAGATTTTGTGGTAATTGATGGCGTGAGATATTTTGCTACTGGTGATATTGGTGAATTTCGTGAAGATGGGTCACTTCGTATAATTGGTTCATATTTTCCGATTCTACATATTTTCTGTTGTTTTTTTATTTGAAACCCAAAAAAGTTTAATTCTAATAAGTGAATAAGTGGAAAATGGTTTAAGTGTTATCGTATTTTAGATCGAAAGAAAGATTTAGTGAAACTTCAACATGGCGAATATGTATCATTGGCCAAGATCGAGACTGCGCTGTTGAATTGTCCATTGATTGACAATATCTGTTGTTATGGCGATTCATTGTCATCATACCTGATTGCACTTGTTGTGCCTAACAAGAAACACTTGACAGAAATGGCCGAACAGGTTGATCTTAGTCATTAATATGACGATTACATATATATCCAATTAACGATATATATATATATATATTGAAATAATGTGAATCAATGTAGATTGAAACTATTAGTAATTGATTCAAATCAGAATATGAATAGGTTGATCTTAGTCAAATCAACATATGCATTACAACTCGCTGATTCATAGCAAGAATCAACTTATGAGGAACGAATGATACAAAGGGAATATAGAATAACTGAAACAATACTTTCACTTATTTTCAGTTTGATATCAGTCCATCAAGTTGGACTGATATGTGTCATAATGTGGAAATTGTTAAGGAATATCAAAGACGCATGGAGGAACATGCCATGAAAAGTTAGTTTTTATAATTTGATTTATAACTGAGTCTACCTGTGTAGTAGTTGACACATTGTATGTTTTATGTCTAGCACTTCGTTTAAAAAATGTTGATTTTTATAAATGTTTGGAAAATCTTAGTTTAACAATTTCTGCACCTTTTTTTTTGCATGGCTCTTTCCCAATGTTGAGTTGTGAGGAACGGTTTTTATTCGTTCTTTTACTAATTAAATTGGGATAAAATAAATATGTGATAGGAATAGTGTAGTAACGGATAATGTTCCTACTCTCAGTTTATCTCATACAAACATTTCACACATTCATTTAAAAATTTCTTCCCTTTATTACTTTTTTGTTAATGATACTTTGCAGTGACATTTTTCGTTAATTTGAGTGAAAAGGTAGTAATCAATGAGTATATAAGATTAGCCAGAAATCACGCAACAGTTTCAGAAAACCTTATTCCTTGTTAAAATATAACTCAAGATTTTGAGAAAATAAAGCTTTTATGAATACTTTTGTTGTTGTGGAAATTTAATTTTAGATCACTTGTTGAAGAATGAATTACCAGGAAAGATCTATTTATGTGATGAAATATGGACAGCTGAAACTGGTCTTCTGACTGAAGCAATGAAATTGAAACGTCGCTTAATAAAAGAGAAGTACGAGCAAGTTATTGCGCAACTTTATCGTGATGATTCTTATAAACGCTAATATGAGTGACATTGTAAGTAAGTTGAAAAATTCTTATTCTGAGATGATGACTATGTTCTATATCGTCCATTTTCATTCTTTTACAATTCGAAAAATTCCAAACTTTAATTTGCTTAGAAGTTAGAAGATTTCACTATTTCAACAATAAATGTATTACCAGAATGAAAATTGAAAAGAAATTTATTGCTTTATTGCACTATAACGACTGTTCTCAACTAATTATCAATAAGTACATACAAGCTTTATTTAACAGGGATATTACGCTGTTAAAGGCATCTTTTTTAAGTCTCAAAAATATGTTAATTGGTAAGAGTTATGCTAAATTAATAAGTTTTATTGGAAGTTTTTCTATTGTTGTGTTGAATTGATTGTCGAAGGCATCATTCCTTTTTCATTTATTTCAAAAGAGCATTTAATTATATAGATTAGTAAGGACGTTTGCTTTAGATGAGTAGGACATCCCATCAAATGGGTTTAATTGAAAAATTCGTTGCATTGCGGTATTTTTGGTCTCTTTTCCTTAAGCCAATTCGTTAAATACTAAAGCATGAATTTTCGCTTTATGAATAATGCTATATGATTAATTTCTATATGACTTTTAATTTTCAGCCCTTTATATTTTGTTTTCCGATGTGTCACATTTCCCAAGCAAGCAAAAAAAAATCTTTCAATTTAACCCTTAATCTGTAAAAGTAACCTATGAACTTTTCTTGTTTCTTCTGCAAGTTTACATTGTATTTATGTGTCCCACTGTTTGTTCTTTGTTTTTGGAGTGCGGAGATAATAAAAAAAAAACCATTCGTACATTCCTCAAACGTACTTTAACATTTTCCATTCATCTTTGCAGTAAACAGAGTCACTGAAGACGAAACATTTTCAAATAGCTTTTTTTTTTACTTTCAAACCAATCTTTTGCAGCTTAACTTGTTAATCTCTAATTACTTTTAAGAATTTTTTCTTTTTGTTTTGTTTTTTTAGCGACACTGTTGCAAAATGAAAGATTGCGGAAATTCACTACTTTTTTTTTTGAATATTGCTAGTGCTAAATTCAAGCCGCAATTGCCTAGAATTTTCCTGTTCAATTATTCGATATTCTCATGCTTTTCTTTTTTCATTTTTATTTGTTGGAGACATAAGTATTTGATATACGGGAGAATTTCCGTCTGATGCTACGTGGTCATATGTCATCGTATTTTTTGAACTGATAGTTTTATATTATTGCTATTGCTTTTATCATTTTGTATTATTATTTCCTTTGGTTCATTTATAACCATCTGTAAATACTTATTCTCATGCTAAAATTGGCAGAAAAAAGAAAAGTGAAATAAAATTTTATTAGTTTCAATTCGTATATCTGAAGAAAATGAGAAAAAATTCTTTACCAGAATTCAAAAAATTTCATATAAACATTTCGCTTTAATTGTTTAATCCATTAATGATTTTCTTTTGTTTCTTCATCAACAAAAATGAAGAAAAAAGAATGATGATTTGCAACGGCGTTGTTTTCTTCATCAAATATTTGCAATAAAATATTTTCTGCTGAAATATGGTGCTTAACTACTCTTCCCTTTATTTTGCATGCATAATCCATACTCTAATCTAATTAACAAGAAATAAATGAGTTTAGTTCAGAAATTTAAAAAGAAACTTCAAAAAATTGGGTTTTTATATAGAATGCCAAAATTAGATTTATTTTCCAATATGTCCTGACAAACAATACTTTTCTTCTTTTTTTCTTTTGCCTTTTCAAATCATTTCAATTTTTTTCAAACTGTTTCATTTTTCTAATTTTATTATTAATTTGTTCCTTCGGTTTGCCCTGAAGTATTGCAAATTTTTATAACACAAATTTAAGGATAATTATTTGTTGAATTTAAATTAGTCTTAAAGCATTATAGTATTATGCGATCTTTCTCAAAAATTATTGTCTATCGTGAAATAGTTTTGCATATTTATTAGCAATTTTTATTGGATTATAAAAGGCTTACTTTTTAATCAAATAAATTATTAACTTATTTTGTTAGTTAGCAAACGGTTAGTTACTTCATGGAATTATTAGCAAATTACTTAAATGTTTCTTCAAAAATTTTAATAATATTACGAAATATTTCGAATTATAGTGAACGACACACACCCCAATATAATTTCAAGTAAGTAAAATACTGCATATACGTAGTATATGACAAATATCACGTAGAATTAACTCACTCATAGCTTCACTCTGATATGTCGTAATCTCACGTATCATAGCTTCACTCTGATATGTCGTAATCTCACGTATCATAGCTTCACTCTGATATGTCGTAATCTCACGTATCATAGCTTCACTCTGATATGTCGTAATCTCACGTATCATAGCTTCACTCTGATATGTCGTAATCTCACGTATCATAGCTTCACTCTGATATGTCGTAATCTCACGTATCATAGCTTCACTCTGATATGTCGTAATCTCACGTATCATAGCTTCACTCTGATATGTCGTAATCTCACGTATCATAGCTTCACTCTGATATGTCGTAATCTCACGTATCATAGCTTCACTCTGATATGTCGTAATCTCACGTATCATAGCTTCACTCTGATATGTCGTAATCTCACGTATCATAGCTTCACTCTGATATGTCGTAATCTCACGTATCATAGCTTCACTCTGATATGTCGTAATCTCACGTATCATAGCTTCACTCTGATATGTCGTAATCTCACGTATCATAGCTTCACTCTGATATGTCGTAATCTCACGTATCATAGCTTCACTTTGATATATCGTAATCTCACGTATCATAGCTTCACTTTGATATGCCGTAATTTCAGAATCTCATGATCATGTTTCGTAACCTTAATCCCATTTATAAAAAATGCAATAGTGGTTGGACTAATAATAGTAATTCAAGATATGAAATGTTAAATTTATAAATTAAAGGTAAATGTCAAAAATCTCAACATTTCGAGCGTATGATATATCAAATGCAATCAAAATACAAAGTTGGTTTGTCGGTTTTATTACAAAACCTTCTGTGGAGGTTATTCTATAATTTGTTAATATCATTTTTTCTTAATTTCAATTGAATTAATTTTAAAGTACTATTACTATACCTTTAACTTACATAAAAAGTAATCTCATGCAAGTATTTAATTAACATTTCGTTCTTTTTTTTAATTTAAAGTCTTTTCGAACTGTGCATGATTCAGAGTTAATAAAATAAACTTAATAATTTCCATTGTATAATATTAATATTTCTTGGTCGGGAAATATGAAAATAATTTGATAATCAATTTCATCTTGAGTAGCAAATGTTTTTTTTTTCTGCGTCACTAACATATCACAATATTTTAATGAATTGAAATTCTGAATTAGAATATTTTATGGTTCCTAAAAAATTGATAATTTTTATCATATGCTTTTTTTGGAACAAAATTCCAGAATGAAAATAAAATTACAAACTTTAATTGTTATCAGTCTTTACGAGTGATTGAAGTTTTATAATAAAAATAAAATATTTTATCGTGTATACATGTGTAAGCAGTTAAATGAATGTTGAATAATAAATTTAATAATTTGTTTTTGAATTATTTACAAATAGCCATAACAGTGCCTTTTTTTTCTTTTTTTTTTTTTGCCAACAAAATATTTCATTGAAAGTAAAATTTTTCAGTAAAAAAATTAATTTATTATAGCGTTTTTTAAAGAAAGAAAGCGAATATTTGGTGCATACCGAAGAAAAAGATAATTGCTTAAGATTTGTTCTTTCTGTACGAAGCAAAAAAGAATGTCACCATTTTACACTTATAAACAAAGATAAACTTGGATGGACACTTGATGATGAACCTACTAAAGTCATTTTTACTATTTTATCCAAAAAATCAGATATAAATATTTTTAAAATTTATTAAAATGATCCTTTTTCTCTTTTCCTTTCTCTTTATTTCTCTCCTTCTCCCTCTCTTTTCCCAAAATTTTGTTTGCACAGTGCAATGAAAACACATGAATGAAATTCTGAATAAGTTTTCATTTTTTCATTTTTTTTAAAAAATTAATTAAATTTAAAAAAAATTGAAAATCTAATTTTCCTTGAAATTGTTAAAAAATTTACCTTTTTACAGTTATAAATTTCACACTTTAAGGCTACCTTTTTTTATAAGAATTGAATTCAATTATTTTATTATTCTTTCTAAATAGTGATTTAAATCCATTACCGTGAAATTACTAATCAGAAATAATTTGATTTTTTTTCTTGAAAGCTATTAGGAATTTTTCTTTTTTCGATTATTCGTCTTAAAGCCAAGAAATTATTATTTAATTGATCTTTTTCGAAACAGTATTATTATATTCGGAAACAGTATTATTATATTGTATTATATTATTTTATATTAACTTCAGAAAAATATTTATTTTATCGAGTAATGGTTTTATATCTGTTGCATTCAGAATTCAATTTCAAATTATTTATTATTATTATTGTTATTATTATTATTATTATTGCCATTATTATTATTATTATTATTATTATTATTATTATTATTATTATTATCATTATTATTATTATTATTATTATTATTATTATTATTGTCATTATTATTATTATTATTATTATTATTATTATTATTATTATTATTATTATTATTATTGCTATTATTATTATTATTGTTATTATTACCATTATTTTTATTTGGTACGTTTCTTCATAAAATTTTTCGCAAAAAACTTTTCATGAAAAAAGGTTTAAAATAAAAAAATTACATTTATTCGTTCGATATAATTTTTTTTTTCTGTTTTTTCTAAAAAAAATCACTTTTTTTGAATTTTATTTTTATTATTATCTTAAAATTATTTCAGATAACATTTAGTACAATCATAGACTTAATTCACTATTATGAAAATCATCTATTACCTATGGGTGACACATTTTTGGTTCATCCGTTTGAAAAACCAAAATGGTTCATTTTTCTTCACAATAATTCTTGACAAACTAAATTAATCATATCCGAATGTTTATCAATTTTTGTTCATTTTATGCTTTAAAACTTATGAAAATGCCCGAATAGAACTAATTATTTTACAGAAATTAATTTAGAAAAGAATTAAAATTAGAGAATTTGTTTTACTTATTGAAGATTTATTTGCATGTTTTTTCTATTAGATTGTAGAAATGATTTAAGCTTGCAATTAATATTATATACTTATCATACTACTTGGTAATAAAATTTCATAGTTTTTCAGAGGTTAAATATAATTCTATTTTTAAATGTACTGTTTCAAATTTAATTGCTAAAAATATCTGAAATGTTATTTTAAAAGATTATAAACTTTTTTTACTATACTTTGTAATTCCGGGAAAATTTTGTAATTTAAGGTTTATAAGACATCAAAATGTTGCGTATAACCTTGAAAGAGGTTTAATAGGGACCGGAAATTTTTCCGATATTTACGAAGGCAAATTATGTGGCAAAATATCAGTGGCACTAAAAGTATGCCATGGACCAACAGGTATTGTATATCTTTGATATAGAATAAAAGAAAAAAAAGCGAATTCCAAAAAATGAAATAAGTATAATTTAGCCGGAGCATAGTATTTCCTATTTCTTTTTATTGCTTCTTACAGAAAAAAAAATGTGTAATTATCATTATATGATCGAAGCTAACCGAAAATGGGACTTTCAGCAATTTAAAATTGAAATTAATTCAACGTTTTAATGATTTTAAATAAATAAATTACTGAAGCAAATAAAATCTCAATTGAATTTTATTTATTTCAGTTATTATTAGCATAATAATAATAATAATAATAATAATAATAATAAATGCTGATATTGTTAACAAAGAACATATTAACAGAAAAGTAATTAAACAAAAAAAAAAAAACTTGTTTACGAATAATTAATTTCGTTTTTAGGTGAAAGCTCAAATCTAGAGGATGCGAAAGAAGCACTGGTGCGTGAAGCTTGTTTGATGTCTCAGTTTAAGCATCCAAACATTGTTAAGGTTATAAATTTTTCAAACTGTCCATAAATTCAAATAACGAATTTCAAATAGCAAATCAAGAAATCCATTTATAATTCGTTCGCTATGCTTTTTACAATAAATAAATATTAGTTATTTAAATTTCATTTCATATATTTTCTCATCTTTTCCTTTCTTTTGTCATTTTTTTTCTTCTTCTTCTTTAAGTATTATTATTTTTTTGTAATTATAATCGATTGCAGTTTTTTGGAATATGTTACGATGTGCCATCCATATGTGTCATAATGGAACAGTGTACAGGTGGTTCATTAGATAATCATTTACAACAATGGGCGTATAAAATTACAATCGGTGAACGAATTTTGTACGGTTTAGAAACAGCGAAAGGAATGTGTTATTTGCAGGGAAAGTATGCTATTCATATTTTATTTGTAAAAAGTTTTATTGTATTAATTACTAAATTTTAATAAAATAAATTTATTCATTAATTGATTACAAGAAAACTATATCATTTCATCATTTACTTGCAAAACATTATGGAACTAATTGTAAAAAAGTTGTAGAAATAAGTTATTGATTAAATGATTCATTAATTTAAGTAACTTATTGATAAGTTAGAATTTTTCTACTAGGAAACTTTAGCAAAATTCATATTAAATTAAAAAGAACGAAATTTTATTGAATTAACAATATTTATATTATTCAAAAGAAAGTTTAAATATTTTATTTAAAAAAGAAAATTATAGAGATTATAGAAAAAAAAAAATTATAGAGATTTGATACATCGTGATTTGGCTACACGAAATTGTTTGATTAGTAAATATGGTGTAATTAAAATTTCTGATTTTGGTCTTAGCCTATTAGCTAATGACCATACTGTTATTTGGAAAAAACAAAAGGTAACAAACACATAAACACTTCATTGTTTCAGTAAATGGGTCGTGTCATATAACACTTTTAAAACTTCTATCTAATACGAAATTTAAAGGCTAATTATGGGATTAAAATTAGTAATTATAATTTGCTATTACTGATATGAAAAGCCATCGTTATCATTATTAGAAAATCAATAATAAATAGTTTTTAAATTTATCGGAATATCATTACATATCAAATGATATCAGGTTTTTTTAGGTACCCATACGATGGATGGCACCAGAAACTATTCAACATAAACCACGTTATAGCGTTAAAAGTGATGTTTGGTCATATGGTGTGCTCTTATATGAAATTTTTAATAATGGTATTAAACCGTGGCCAAATTTGGATGTGCGACAATGTGCAACAAATATCAGACGTGGTGTTATGCCTGATATGCCAGGTAATTCTAATTGTAGGTACTGATTAAGAAACTGTCAGGTAATGCATCAGAAAATATATTTTTGGTGATAATTATTGGACATATAAATGAATAATTGTTAAGTAATTGTCGTATAATTGAATTAATTTTACCTGAATCAAATTTAGCATAGTTTAAATTAATTCTAATTCAATTATTTTTCTTTCTGTTTCATTGCTACAAATCAAATATACTTTAGAGAAGAAGAGGCAACAAAAGTAATTGATATCTATCAAAAAAAGAAAAAAACAAAAGTAATTGATTTCAGAAATAACACCTAAAGAAATAATTCGTTTGGTAAGGAAATGCTGGAAAATAAGTGTTGAAAAACGATGTGACTTTAAATATATTGTCAAAAAACTTAAAAAACTTCAATTATGTTATGCACCACCAGAAATTGCCGATTTAACAATTGCAAAATTGAAAAATGTGAAAGCATTAACCGAAGAAGGAGCCGAAACTCAGGAAGAAAAAGATGACTGTGAAGCGGAATCGATAACACAAACAGTAATCGAAGGCACAAGCACTGGAAAATGGATTACTGATTCGACAGCTATGCATAAGGTTGATGCAATGTTTACTCTTTTGTTCAAAAAAGTAACAAAATTAAGTAAGTATATCCTAATAATACTAAAGTAATTAATTATTATTATTAGTCAAAATGACTGAAATAATCAGTTAATGATAACAATCAATTCTATTACTGAGAATTACTGGCACTCAAAATAATTTCAAAAAAACGTCTTTATCTTTTTTCCTTTTAGTATTTCTCTTTATTAAAAAGTTGCTAATCAATACACATGTCAAGAATATTTTTCTGCATTATAAAATATTTATCAGAAGAGAAACATTAATTTTTACCAACTACATTTTGAATTTAATTTTTATAATAAGAATTAAAAACTTAATTTTTGATGAGTAATTGTGATGTTTCTTCTTGTAACTGTTTGAAGTTCACACGACGAGCAAATGTTACAATGTTCTTTCGTAAAGATTTCCACTAAACTATTCTAAAATAAAGTTTCAAATTTTGAATGAAAAATAAATTCCAAGTTTGAGAAACAAAACTTTTGTAATATTTTAAAATATCAAGGTTTGGTAATGGTTATTAGTTGTTAACAAATATAGTTTTATGCTTTAAATCAGATCAGCACCAGTTTTAAAGGTTTTTTTATAAATTAAATTGAAATTAACTTCGGTGGGTTAGAAATTCATTTTTATCTGTAAAACAAAACTTTCTAGAAGGACAATACAGATGAAGCTTCATCTGTTTCTGATCAAATTGAAAAAAAGGAAGAATTGGAAAGAAAAAGAATGAGAGAAGATGAGTAAGTTATTTTGTCATACTTTAAAGAGTTTAATCTGCATATCTATATTATTATTAGTATTACCAATTTAATTATTACTAGTTATTACAATTATTATTATTAATCATTTATTATTATTATTTTAATTTTTAAATTAATATTAATACTATTATTATTATCATTATGATTATTGCTATTATTATTATTATTATTGTTACTGATCGTAATCAATTTTTATCAGTTGTTTGAATTATCCTTAAGCACATGTGTTTGTTTCTGTTAAAGTACAATAGGTTTGTCCGGGATTTTCTTCCCCGACATATATTTGTTATCAAAAATGATAAGAAAAAAAACGTCACGTAACTTTTATAAATAATTTTAAGACCCACTGCTTTAATTAATTGGTTTCCAACGCTATTTAATCATAAGAAAATGATAAAGAACTAAATGAAATCTTATTGGTAATTAGCATAAAATGAAGTAATAATGATTGATAAGAAGTTAAAAATGAAAAGAAAAAGATATTTGTGCGTGATAATAACTGATAAATAATCTAAATTTAATATCTAATATTACTAGAAAGTATAAGATGTTTGAAAGTTTACTAAAAAATTTTTCTGCATGCTTTCATTTTTTACATAATTTGTAGTTTGGCAATTCTGAATGAAGCTATTCTGGAATATGTCGCAGCTGAAATTGAGAAATTGTTGGCTTCCAAACGTAAACATAAACGAAGACATGCAAGCAATACATTCCTTTTAAAAAATTTATCGCATTTTGATGTCAAAATAACACTTAATTTTTAACATTTAATCAAAAGTTTAATTAACAAATTAAAAAGAGAAGATAGAGATGACATAAGCAATTCATTGAAGTATGCCGCATTTTCATATATGCATGTATTAATTTTTTTTTTTTTTTTCATTTTCAGAAATCTAAAAAGAAACTTGATAGAAAGCATCGTCGAAGTCGTCGATCATCTGAAAGTTCATTTTTAAAAGAAGACGAAAGTTCTACAATTAAAAAAAGTAGCAAAGATTCGAGAGAGAGTAAAACTCAATTGAAAGAAAGTGAAGCTTTATCGAAAGATAGTGGAAGTTCTTCAGCCAAGGATGAAGCTTTTTGCAAAGTAAAAGAGAAATCAGCAGGAGAAAGTGAAATTTCTTCAAATGTGAGCGATATGCAGGATAGTAGTAGTTGTCAAACAGATGACAAGCTAATGAATCAAAATAAAGAAAGCCGAAATGATGAACCAATAGTTATAAGTAATGAAAAGAGGAGTAAGAAAAATGCGACGAATAATTCAAACAACATAAAAAATACTGAAATGCCGGAAAAATAGAAAAGCAAGAAATAATGAAAAAATCAAAAAGGAATTATAATGTGTGTAATTTTAAAATTAGAAATTAAAATTGGAATAAAATGAAAATATTTAGAAATGCATTGCAAATAAATTCATAATTACGAGATTGCAGCAGATATACTCTTTTTAAACTGATTTCAATAATATTGTTTGCGTTAATTAAAAAAGTCAAACTATTGTTATCGTTGAAACATTACCACAAAGTTATTGGAAATGAATAATTTCAGATAAAATTTTTCCAATGAAACTTGTAATCATTTTAATAAAATTGCAAATTAGAATTGTAAATTTGTGAAAACTTTGAAAAAATTCTAAATTAAAATCAAGTAAAATTAATGACAATTTAAAAATTTCACAAATTGAATGATCTTGATTGTCCAAATATTTAAAAAATCAGAGAGTTATAATTTAATTTTGTATGGTATGGTAATATTTTCAGTCATAGAAAAATTAAATCATGTTGTGTTATTGCTATATATTTTTTTTCATAAGCTCCGAATTTAAATAATTAAAAAATGTTTTAGTAAGCTTAACAGTCAAGTTAATTTGATTTTTTAAGGTCTAATTGAATGAATCGAATAAGACGATTAAATTATATTAAATGAATTTAATTCATTTCAATATATTCCCTTTTTAACATCCTTTTTTTTTCATCTCACAGTCACAAATTCACATTTTCGGAATGCTTATGGCACTCTTTGTACGGCGATTTTGTTGTGTAATATACAAACGATGGCAGTTATACTAATTTGGGGAGCTGTTGTCCTACTAACGTAACACTTCTTTTTGCGCTTAATTTCAGTTATCCATGAAAACAAATCGGAATTTTAATTTGACAACTACTAATTTTTGCTATGTTGAATCAACCGTTTCCAGGAATTCACGTGAGTTATCATCGCAGACATCTCCCATTGCCTTAATACCTGGATGCTTTGCTAATGTATCTTTTTACGGATCATTATTGCTGAATTTGTTAATTGCGGTAAATAGATACTGCGCTCTTACACATCCTCTCAAATATCATTCTTTTTGGTCTGTGCAGAAAGCTCGTATAGCAGCAATTATTGCTTATTTTCTTGGGTTTCTTCCATGTTTTCCAAGCATTTTTGGTAAAGCTTTCATTTTTTAGCAAAGTGAAGTGCAATTTATAAAAATGATAAATATTATCAGTGAAAGAAAATGGCTTACCGGAATTGAAGTTCAACATTTCAGAAGCTTGATATCAACCAATAAATAATGATGCATCAACTTTATAACTTATGCTTACAGAGCCCTGTACTCTCATTTTTAATATGGAATTGGATTTGCGCTGGAGCTACAGTAATACAAGTTGTGGTTATATCAATTCAATGTTTGACCTAATATTCTGTATTTCAACGCTGACCACAGCGGGATGCATTAACTTTATAACGCTTTTTAGGATTAGAAATTACAGTAAAGTTACGATTCACGGTTGTCTCATTAATTAGTTGCAATGAAAGAGTTTAATTAATACTTAAAATGCGTTGTTAACTGTTTGATAACCCAATTCTTCAGAAAATATAAAACATTTATTTCCCACTTGGTCCACTTGTATGCTTGGAACCAAAATGAACTAACTGTTTAGACTGAAAGTATTTTCCGAGCAAATTTTTCTTGTCTCAATAAACTTAACTTTTTTCAGTCAAGAAAAATGAAAGTAGACCAACTGATAACACGTTCTATCAATCGCAATCGTGACATAGGTTTTTTTAAACAGGCAAGCATGTAAATATTAGCATTGTTGGGTGAATCATTAAACTAAACAACAAATTGTGATAAATATTACAACTACTTTGGCTAGAAAGTCTATAACAATTGGCCATCCATCATGCATTCATAAATTGTTTTTTCATTGCAGTCGTGTACCAGTGGGTTTACAATTATGATAGTTGGTATTTTCTTTAATGTTGGCCCACATTTTCTCACCAATAAATGGGCCTTATTTGCTGCGACTACAATTTGTTGGCAAATTTCGAATACCTTAGATGGGTGAGAGATTTGTTCCATCTACTAAAAATTACCTTTTCTTCTTTATATTTCCTTGCATCGCCGCCTATAGCAATTCTTTCTGGAATTATTTGCATCTGATGAAAATAATTCATTGACATTTAAATTGTTAAAATATCATTTGTAATTGGAAATTGTAATATCTTCCAAGATTCTAAAATAAATTTTAAACTTGAAATGAAAGCAAATACAAATTTATTTACAGGTTTGTTGTATTGTTCTTCAGTTGGCATTACGTCAGGAATTCATCGACAAATAGTAATAATTTGTTATTGGTCAATAGAAAGTCTGGATTAACTTTTAATGTTTATCTCAACTTTTCCACTGAATTAAATACTCAAAAGATGGTATTCAATAATTTCGATGTCATAATATAATAGATTATAATTGAAGTAGTAATGGATCTAAGGCGACATGGATGGTAAGGTGACACTGGTGCACTCTTCCGATGGATAAAATCAAACATATGTGAGTGATACCCAAACAATCAGTTCTTATATTTTTTCACAAGAATAGAAAAAGCCGATACCGTGAATGATATGAAGATGGAAAATGAAGTTTAAAACTTTTGGTAATGAATTATTGTTTCATTCATGAAAGTATCTGTTAAATTAAGAAATTAGAAACATTAGAAAGTTAATTTTCAAAGTTGATTTTTCTACAATTATTCTGATATATTATCACACTATCACTGCAATAAATTGATGACTGAATGGACTTGCTGCAAATACTAATAATAGAAATATCAAAATTTATAATGAAATTTGTTTCGTTTTTAAAATTGCTATGGAACTTTACTCAATAATATCAATCATGGAGCAAATGCATTTACAAAAGTATTTGTTTATTTTTGTTAACCGATTAAAATATTGCTGTTACTACTGATTGTATACTATTTACTTTCTACTGTTTTGTTACATTTATTTATGACATAAACCTCGTTGCAGAATGGTACCACTTGAGTTAGATGTAATCACATCGTTCATTTGCTATATTAAATGAAACAAAAACTATGCATGTTATGAGATGTATAATATTAATGAAAGTATTTTAAAATAGAATGAAATGTTTGACCCTAATTTGACCTTGTTATTTTTAACTCTAAAATAGAATACCTTAATTCATGAATTCTGCAACTTTTTTTAGGGAAACAGAACCTGAATTCACCTTCTGTTCTTAATTTAGCAATTCTTCATAAAGCTGCATAATTACTAATTTCTGAAGTTAGAAATTTTTTAATCTAGAAGTGAACAACACATTTTTCCAAAGCGTTTTTTAAGTGTAGTCATTAAACTATATTAATTACCATGATCTTACTTAGCGATCTTTTAACTTAACAGCAGTTATTTTGATATTCTTATACTCATATCACACATTCTCAAAACTTGGTTTGTCAAGAAGAAGAAATCTAATTTTTAGTTTCACTTTACGATTTTATTTTGATTTCACTTTTTAACTTTTTCAGAACATTCTGGCAAATTATAGGCGAGCACGAAATTTCACGTACTAGAAAAACCATGTCGAAGGCTTCAATATACTTTACAATTTGCTTTTCAAACCTTGCGGGAAAACTTGGACTCCACTCAGAAATTTTATAAGAAAACTCCCGTGAGACAGCTATTTTCACCATGGCCTATCATAGTTACTTTTCTTAATCAAAACATAGAGCAGAACTTCATTTACTTCCAATTGGTAGTGTAAATAGGTGGTTGGGGGACTAGGAGTTTCCGTTTGGGGTTTGTCGCTTTGATTTGTGGTGAGTGTTGTTAATAAATACTTTCTCTGAAAAGATTCTACTATTCTTTAAAGTTATTCATACGCAAAGTTAGAAAATGTTTTATCCTGACTTTATTTAAATCTGCTTAAGTATTCCATGTTATGTAGCAGTGCACTGGAAGGAATTTTCCAAGTTAAAGGAAAAATTAAGCCTTTGCTTAAATTGCTGTTTTCATTTTCCCTTCACGGTTAAAATTATATTAGTATGTTAAAAACTTTTCTAAATATTATTCCAACTACGCAACAATTATTATTATTTTCTTAGATCAGTTATTCTCTCGAGTTTTTACTTATTCTTTTGCATTTAGTTTCGTTGATGCATGATAACACATAATAGCGAAGTATAATGTTTCAATACTGTCTTATGAATTTTTCCTGCAAAATCACATGTGCTCCACTTTCATTGTCATATTAATATCTCTGGTATATTATTATAATCGTGACGCTAATAACGTTAATAAGTTAATAAGCGCTGGTAACTAATAAGCTAATAAGGTGATATTATGTTAGTTTTTCAGCTCTTGTGTTTACGCCGTAATAGTTTCATTAACAGGAATTTTTCTGATTAGTATGATGCTTCAATCATCGAAAACATCTACCGCTTCCAAGACTGTTAGTTTCATCTCTTGAAATATTAGTAAATTTATTACGCTGAAAAGAGAAGAATGATAGAGACAATGTTGGTGGTTAATTTATGTTGAATATTGTTAAAAAGAAAATGAAAACGGCAGATCAGAATTGATAGACAAATCAGAATTGATAGATTTAATCCTGTTGCAGGGGTTAATGGGTTAACAGAGCGAGAGTAATAAAGATACGATTGAAATTTCAGAATCAGTTGAAACGTGATGCGAAACTGGTACAAGAAATGGAGCAAGAAACAACAAAAATTCTGAGTCCATTATTCAATGACATGGTTTGGCTGAATAGAGCGTACTTGATATTGAAGGTAATTATTTCTGATATCCTGAAATATGAAAACATAATTTTGCAAAATTAATTCTTAGTACTGTTAGATCTTGCAAAAAAAAGTGACAAGTAGAAACTTTTGGTTTTTGTTTGATTCAGAGCTGGATTCGCAATACTACTGTTAAAATTTTGTGGGGATTTATCCATTTTTTTATTTCCAGGGACAAGGTTTACAAGAAAGCGAAGGACGTTTTAAAACTCTAGTTTTGATATTGAATGGACGAATTAAGCATTCGTTGAAGCTTTCATTCGATGCTGGGATTTTACGTACCACCAAAATCTTCAGCTATATACTTGAGTGAGTCTGTACAGGGTTGCACTATCTCAAATGGATTTCGTATGACTACAGTCGTCTGCGCTTTAAAATTCCAATATATTATAGTATAGCACGCGAAAAAGAGGCAATAAAGAAGAGGGGATGTATTTTGTATTTGCTTATTATTTCGTTGCAGGTTGGACGCTTTAATCAGGGAAGTAATGGAACTGCCCCGCACTCCATCCCTGGACCACTTCCAGTCGTTTGCTAAAGGCATCTTATTCCGCAACATTGGCGACACATTTCTTCTCCTTCACCATATAGTAATATTATTCGATCTTTTTTTTTCTTCTTTTTTTTAAACATTGCCTTGAAACTAAACGAAAAAAGCTAAACAAATATGACTGAACTGGAAATTTTTGAACTTCTTTAAATTTCCAAAAGAAAAGACTTCACTTTACAATGGCTTTATTATTTGAACTTTTTCACTTTTTTGTATATGTATATTATATCAGGAGAAAGGAAATAGGATGTACGAGGAGTTGGCATTTGTCAGTTATTCAATCGCATACGATATTTTTTACAAAGCATCACCTGTCTCATCTCTGCTTGCTGCTATCTTTGTACTTGAAACGTTTGTACTGCGTACACTACTCCAGCATTTCAATAGGGTCAAGTTATCCAATTCGACGACACAATTGGTATTTTGTTCACTGTTCACAAAATTGTTAAATTCATTTCGAATTCATTTCATGAAATTCTTTAGAATATTCATAGTTTTGAAAAGCATCATTATTTTCAATAGAAGTAATGATTGTTCTCTGTAATAATAGTGGTTTACAGATGATCTTTATCTGAAACAATTAAAATAAGAATGAATATATTGTGAAGCTGAAATCAGTGTGCTGTGAGAAGCTACAATGGTGACTTTAGGTTGGAGAACGTTTGTATGCTGCATGTAGCGGTGTTACCACATCTCGTTCTAAATCATTCATGATTTCAATAAATTCGGTGCCAAGCACTCATGAAACACATCATATAGAACAGAACAAAATCAGCAGTAAGGATTACTCTCATCGTTTTATACTAATTCTTTTTGTATTTTTGGTGGTTGGAATTTTATAAAATTCTATTTGATAATTCCTGGTCCTTTTGATCTTCCAGGATTGATCAATTTAGCTGATAAAAACGATTTTTTGATTAACTTATTATGGCTATTAGCTTACAACGGCGATATGCGTGATAACGGTAAGTGAATGTACCGTCTAATCATAAGATTGGTTTGATATTTGAGCACGGTTCTCTTTGTCCACAACATTGTATTCGCTGTAATTTAGAATGGAAAACTTTTTGCATGAATTAACTTATAAAGCTGCGATTAATTATCAGTTTTAGCTTCCTTCTTGGATCTTTTCCTGAAAAATATACCTGCCGAGACTTCTGGTGATGATCTGCAATCATTTACTTTGTCGTCATTTTGCAAAATTGATGCAAAAGTATGTTTTATGAATCATTATTCGAGATGAATAAAATGGTTTTGAAATTATATTTGTATTTCAGTGCATGATTAAATGCTTTTTGTACAATTTCTGACTTTGCAGTTCATTTAGGTGCTGTTGTTAGGAGCGGCAAAGTGGTCTGAGCTGTGCACATCTCATGTGCAAAAATATGGTATTTCCAGTTTAAGTATTCTGCCGCCATTAGCATTTGCGCAACCTAATTTTATTGTGCTTAATTTCTGGAAGCTGTTATTGTCTTTCAATAAGGAATCACGGTGAGAAGTTGTCAGTATTTCTTTTTATTATATATTTTGCTAATTTTTGTTTTTCAACTTCATCTGCCTGTTTTGTCTCTGCTTCGTAAAATCTGATCTGATTCATCAGTTTAGTAGTGCCGAATCTCAACTGAATATATGAGTTGGTCAGGAATTAAAAAATCGAGACATTGTTTAATTTTTTCTCGCTATTGGTCTGTAAATTAAAGCCAAAAGGATTAATAGAACCTATGTATTCATCCACAAATTACCAGAAATGTTTTAACAATTTCAAGTGGGCTGAAAAACTACTTTTAAATATTCTTGTACTACAGCTTCGAAGTGAAATACATTGAATAATAGTGGTTTTAGTGTTTCTGACAGCTTTCTTAATTTTAAGGATTAGTCATTCAAGTCAACTGTGCTCTGAGAATAGAATAATAATAGCAGCTTTGGAAGCGTCTAGACTACGTGGTGAGATTCCTGATGTGCGTATTGTTGATTATGTTCGTAAATGGCTTGTTGCTAATGGAAATGCACTTGGTGACACGAAAGGGAATTGGGCCAAATTGTATTCTCGAGTGTTTATGGATCTTATCAATGGGTATTGTATTAATTGTTAGACGTTATTTTGCTAAGAGTGTCCACTTATACCTATTTTTCCATTTCATTAGTCTTTTTTGTTATAGGGCTCACTATGCAAATCAAGGTGTCTCAACGGAGGATTCATTTTTTCCACCGTTAAATGATTCGGATTATGATATGCTCGATGATGCCGAAAAATGGTTTTCTCTTCAGAATTCATCTGTATCTCATAATGCCGATCTGGTTTTGGATGAGTCCGCGGAATCAAAGGTATAAAAGTGATTTTTCAATTTTTGAAAGAACTTATCAGCTTTATTAATTGCATCATATAAGATTTGCTTTAGTTTTATTTGTTATTATTATACGTAATTGCAGCTCGGCACTTTGCCTAGCAGTCAGACAGAATCTATAGAAGATGCACCTATTAAACCGAAGAGCCTTTTACAACGCATATGTACATCAGCAAAAGCTATGTTGCCTAGTGATTACAATAACTCAGTTATCTCTTCTTCTTGTGCACCAAAAAATGATAGCATTAAGGCGCTGGAGCTACTGACCAAGGTAACCCATACATTCGATAACTTTTATCTAGAACTGTTACAATTTCGATTGTTATAATTCTCATTCTCTTTAAACAGTAGTTAATTATTCTTTAACAGGATTATAAAACGAAGTGCAAAAACGAAGCATCTACAAGCTTTGAATTGAATGATTTATCGTCTGTTATTAAAAAGAACAAAGTCGAAGAGAATTTATATGCAGAAATCATTAAAATGCAGAACGAGCATGCATGGGATGTTTGCAAGTAGGGAGTTATTTCTTCAGTAATTATAGATTTTCATTAATTTATTAGCATTCTTCCAATGTTTATTAAAATTTTTTTGAGTAAATATTGGTTCTTCAAATTATAATATTGCAGGCTTGTACAAACGATAAATTCGTTAGAAGAAACAGTAAAGCAGTATTCAAGGCAATATGCAAATGATTTAGCCATTTATACTTCAGTATGTCACTTTTATAGTTACACTATAGTAATTTTCTGACATTCTCATCTTATTATACGTTTTTCCCACTTACTGTTTCAAATATTTAGATTACTCGAAATTTTCATCTAAGCAGTTCCCTATATGAAAGTGTTTTTCAGAAGGCCTACAAACAAGGTTATAATGATGGATATTGTTCAGCTCTGCAAACAAACAGTAATGTTGCGAACCTGAGGGAATCTACTGATCAACATGCAATTTCATCAATAACACAAAAAAAAGGATTTTTAGAAGATCAAGATCAGAAGGCTTCGGACGTTGAATATTCGCATAATCCTGACGGATGCGTTGGTTGTGCTTCCGAAGAAGGTTAATATGTTTGTTAATCCATTCTAATGTGATAAATTTGGTGTTTGCCAATTATGGACAGTGTTTTTCGATATAAAAAACTGTTAAAATTCTTTTCCAGAACAAGATCGATTTTTGAGGATACTGGACAAATTGGCTGACAACGGTGTTGTTTGAGACTCAAATGGGGTTTGGTGACTTTGGAAGAAAAATGCTGTGAAGTTATTGGTTTCTCTCTGATTTCGATCAAATTATCATGTTTTATCTTTTAGTTTTTTCTGTAGTTCTGGTATCATATTTCTTCAGTACTATTTCTTCTAGGATTTCAAATCATCTGTTATTTTTAATTCCCAATCTCATGGTATAGAATGTGTTTGTCATGAAATTTAATGAATTTAGGTGGAATTAATTTTATTATTACTGGAACAATTATCATTGTGCAGTTAATTTCGCATTTTCTATTATTTACTTTCAAATCGTACTGTTTTTAATTTATTGTGATTAACCTGTCCGTTTGTTTCTGCTGTGATTTTAGGAGCGATTGAATGAAACATTGTGTTGAATATCAGGTAATTTTATAAGTATTATGAATGTTTTGATGATGTCCTCATAAATGAACTATTCATATCAATAATCTTGATAAAGTACATATGATCTACGCATGCGATTAATCTAACTAGATTCTTATATATCGAATACATTACTTATCAATTTATATTGACAGTGCTTTTTTATGACATTAAATTAAATCGGCTTTGAATGAGCGGTTTTAGGAGTAACTGAACAATTTCTTCGATTAAGCAGCATGTTTGCTCATTGTTTGATTAAATATTTCCAGTCACTTTTTTTTTTCAATGTATCAGAAGGGTTTAAAGTACTTTATAGCTACTAATCTGTACATCTTTTGCAAATAAAAGCGGCAGGGAAAGATGCGAGGTAAATGTTAGTCTTATATCATGCTTATACATTTACGCATAACTATATTTTCTGGGAATTTTTATTTTGTTGCTTAATTATAGACTGGCTACAAAATGGTTTATAGTATCTCATTTTATATAGTTGCTGAACTATCTCAATTTGATGACTTATAGCATGAGTGCAGAAAATGTAAGGCTTTGTCGTGGTGTCAAACGGCGTGGGCCAGACGATACACAGGTAAGATTTTTGTTGAATGGCTTCTTGTTTCCTATACTTTTTGTTCATTGTAATATTATGTAGTTGCTCGGACGTTTCATTTTTGTTTATCAGTTCAAATGAAAAGCCCTTGGATTTAGTTTTCAGAATTGTCAAAATATTTATTTTCCTTTAACATGTCTGTTTTTTAGTACTTACTCTCTGAAGTTAATTTGGAAAATATGGATGAGAATATGCAACAAATAGGTGTGAGAAACACTACACATTAATTTCTATGTTAATCACGTTAAATTTTTAATTTCCACAATCCAGCAATTGCTTTCAACAAAATTTTGAATGTCAAACAAAATTGCTAGGTGGAAAAGGAGTGAAAACAAAGGTAAAAGTATTATACGGGAACTCAAAATCAGTTTTGCTATATCACTATTCAGATTACAAACCCAATGTAGGACATGTAAATTACTAAGACATTAATCCTTCCTTGAGCTACCTGAAGATAACATCATTCTTATTTTCAGTGAGTTAAACTTTATGGTTACTGAATAAAGTTTTCACATGGAATGGAAATTATGTTTATAACCAAATAATTTGTTTTATCGTAGGATGAATTGCTTGTGTTTGGCTACGCATCACGAATATACGTAAACGATGATCGTGCCGAATGGGTTGCAGAAGAACGACATCTGATAACACATCCGGCAGATTCGCAGTTACTGATTGATAGGTGAGTTAGTGAAGCACGTTAAATCTTTAAATTGACTTTTGTTCCGTACTCCTTTCGAAATAGGTTGGTCAAGATGTGTGGTTTATGGAAGCTCAAAATTGATGGTCTAAACTCAACAAAACTTTTGGTAGGTTTCATTTAATTTTTTGAAGTCTTAATTTTCCATCATAATTGCTGTCATGGGTTGATTAGTACAAATTATTGACACTGAATCAATGGAACCGTTAAATTAAGAAGTACAAGAACTTCTTAATCTTTTTCTCTAGTACTATATATGAAATAGCAGTATCGTCGAAACGCTCTAAAATAGAGACGAGTTATTCTGATCATGCATCGTTTATGGGCTGCTATTTATTTTTGTTTGAAAAGGAAGTTTCATCAGCATTTCTTTTCAAATAGTGGGGGCGTGAGAAGTAGTTTGCTAAGAACTAGATTTACTACTTCTTTCATCGTGATTCATATTTTTGGAACTGATTAGTCTGCTTATATATTCTCTGAAACCCGATCAGTGCATTAATTTAGAGTCCTTTTAATCCTTTTAAGTAACTCCTTATTATTACTAGTTTTATCTCTTATCTCGTTCTCACTTCCTTTTTGCGTGCAGAATAAGGGGGACTTTTCGAAAAAAGGTATCTCAATTATGAATGATACCCTTCTTTTCATAATTGTGATACTTTTTTTCTTAGTTTTATAAGTCATATGAAAGGTTTTTTTAATCATGCAATAAGGCATTTAAAAGACTGGACGGATGAATAAATTTTGGAAAGAATAGTGCGAAAAAAGGTGCCAAAACAACAATATTTTGAAATATCAAACTAAGGTAAGCGATTGATATCTTGCACTAACTTAACGTTTTTGTCTTTTTGGCAAGAAATTTTAATTACTAAGTATCAAATAATGTATTTCTTCCAACATTTCAGATGTGGATTGGACGTCACACACGCCCAATAGTTTGGGCAGTATGGTGGTATGTACTTTTCGTAAGTGCACTATAATTGTGAGATAAACAGTTTGTTGTTGTGAGAAGCCTAGTTTGGCTTGATTTCAGAAGTACCATTGGGGATATAGAAACTAAGTTCATAAAGTTTGGAATATCATTGAGAACTTAGTTTCTATGTCTTCACATTGTATTCCTTCATTATTCTACACTGTCATGTAAATATCATTTCCAGGTATGACTGTCGCTTACATCTTTCAAGTACAGAAGCATTAGATATTGCATGTATTACTGGCGAAGGTTATAGTCTACGTGGGATTGGATATGACTGTCCTGCAGAATTACTCGAAGAGGAAATGTGTGAAGAAGAGCGATATAAAGATATGCATGAAGATATAAAGAGACTTGAACGTAAGAGTATGAAATTTATATTTGTCTGAATGAATTACTGTATCTTAGGTAGATCAAAAGTTGGAAGTTTGTGAATATATAAAGATATGTCTTTGAAATGTTACTGAGCTATCATTCGATGAATAATTGAGTTGCTGTACTTCATTTTTTTTCAAATCTCATGTTTATTGTTGAATAAATTGTAGAATGTTTTTGTAATGTATCTTTATTTACAGAGGAAGAGGAAGAAAAGCGAAAGCGTGCCGAGATTGCATTTAATTATGATGAAAATTGTAAAGAAGCAACTAGTAGTAGTGAAGAAGAAATTGATGAACCATTTCAACCTCCGGAAAATATCAAACTTCCATTGGGCATGAATTTGGTATATTTTATCAGACGCCATTGATATCTTCATTGTTCTTTATAACTAGAAAAATTATTCAAAGAAACTTTTTTTACAGACTTGCTCAAAATAACTCACAGACCTTTATTCTTATTTCTTTTCTACTTAGTAGTTCCACCAAACTGCATTATAGCGATGACAATAAATTGGTCCTTTAAATCGTCCTCTTCTCATTTAGCCGGATACAATGAAGCAGAATGCTGTGATAGAGCGTACAGCAACATTTGTCGTTGCCCAAGGTCCTCAGATGGAAATAGTTATCAAAGCAAAACAACGTGGAAATCAGGATCAGGTCCTCATTGCTTGTTCATTTATTGATTTGAAAAATATATAGTTGGAGAGGCTACTCTAATATTTTTGAAGGATTATTTTTTAGTTTGGTTTTCTGGAATTTGATCATCCTTTGAATGCTTATTACAAATATATCTCAAAACTGATACGAGAAAAGAAGTATACACCAAAATCACATGTTCCAAAGCGTCGTCCGAAATTGAAAAAATTACAACGTTTGGAAGAAGAAAAGCGACTGTTAGAGGAGCAACAGAAACAAAAAGAGGACGTAAATATTGGTAATCTTTATTTTATTCAAACTTATTTTATTTTTATTCAGAAAGACAAATTTCATGACTAAATATAAAATCTACTTTTTTCTATTTTCTGTAGAATCCAATTTGTCGTTCATTTAGATTCATCTATGATAGTTCATTTGTTGATTTGTTATAGGTTCTAATTCTGATAGCGATTCGGGATCTGATATCAGTGGAAATTATCTTCATCCTTTGCTAATGGGAGGAGCACGGAAAACCGAATCCAGAAGTAGTTCTCCGGTAATTGGTCCAAAAACAAAGGAAGAAAATGACGTTGCTACCAAGAAACAGTTGCAAGTTGGAAATGATTACAAATTGGGAAAGGTTATTAACACTTATTTTATTCATGAGACTAATGAAGTTCTTCTGACCTGATGCAGATTTGTAATTTTTGAAATTTGTTTTTCGCAATATTAGATGTGAGAATACGTATTCATTGCAGCGGAGAATTCTTTCATTTGCAATGTGTGATTATTTGTTTCAGGCTGACGACATGTATTCTTCGCTCTTTAAGAATCTCTCTGATTTAGTTGTCACACAGACTAAAGCAACACAAGTTGCTGGAAGTAAAGATGAGTAAGTTATTGTTTCTTTCACAAAGTCAGGAATAGCGATAAGGAAACTATTCGGCATCGCTTCAATTAACTATCCACATATTATGATCGGATCAAGCAACAACAAAATGATTTTTTAACTGAAGTTCTGTAGTTTTGTAGAACTATAGAAAAAACAAAAGATTTGGAAAAAGGCGATTACTATGAATGGTATCTGAGTTTCTATGGAGAACCACCACCAAGCAATGAACAGCCGAGTGTGATACCGCCACCACCTGACATTATGCCTACCGTCAATAGCGCTGCTGAATATGTTGCCAGATACGGAATTCAAGCCGAACAAATTTTAATAGGTAAACTGAAATTTTTTGATTCATGTCAGATGAATCTCTTCAAATTTTGAAATGGGACTTTCATATCAACTTTTTTTTTTAACACAACACTTTTTTTAGGGCGACATGACCTTAACATTGGATTTTTGTGTGCTGACGGTCCTTATTATGGTTATTATCATTCGCGTATTCGATATTATCAAAAGATGCATGCTTCCTACATGCAGTCTCAAAAGGTGAGACACACTTTTAAAAAGTATTTTCAGTATTTTTGTCTTATCTATACTTCGAATGATTTCACTCTTTTTAAAAATGCACTTCCTGGACATGGAAAATAATTTTAAATTTCACTTTTAGATGACGGGAGATGCAGAAACAGAAGAATGGAACACAGCGAAACAAGACATAGATATTTCAGGTAAGCATTGGACAGCGTTTCCTTTCAACAATCTCGCTCAACCATTAAATTACCTTAATAATAATTATAACTATAGAATAATTATAGAAGGGTGTGATGTGGAACAATCCTGTAAAAGTGACAGTGACATCAGTGAACAATCGAACAAACCATTTTCTGACTTACTGCAAGCACCTCCTCCTCCACCACCTTTTATGAATCGGAAAATGCGTCGTCGAGGTTTCCATGATCCACCTCGTACACCTGAACCAACTGTGCAAAATGTTGCTGAAGTTGGAGTAATCGACTTTGATGTCCAGGTTGGGAATTCTTTTGCTGTCGTGAGCTTATCAATTATGGTAATTTAATTGGTTTTAGTTCTTTTTTGTATATCAGTGCTTGTGTCCCTATTTTTCTGACTAAGCTGCAAATGATATTCAGAATCATCATCCTGTAAACAACATCACTGCTTATTAAAACCTCTCTTATTATTAAGAGATGGAGTGAAAGCCATTATCCTACCTCTGTTAAAAAAAAAAAAAAAAAAAAAAAAATGTATAAGAAGGCTTTCCTCATATTCTTTCGTTGCCTCAAGGGAATTCGAAAGTTGTTGCATATTCATTTGATTCAGAAATTTCTTATGCATCATACAGTATTTATTCTAGCTAAATGAAGTGCAGTCACTGCCAGCACTTTTGGATAATCCTGAGGAGCGAGAAGAAAGTTCAAACTCGTCAATGAGAAAAACAGCAACGGGTCCAATATCTTTTTCGTTGAATGTTCAAAAAGCAGATGATAAAAAAATTCCAAAAATAGCAAGGTAAATACTCTCAGAAATAGGAAAATAACATATTTTAAGAGAAACACCCTCTTATTGAAGCACGGTAGTCCGTTGACAACAAGTGTATCATTTTCACTTTGGGGGTTGTAGTTCACATCCGTATGAAGTAGCCCAGTGATTAAAAAATATGATGAACTCAACCGACCCGAATATTTGCGGTACAATTAGAGAGTTCTTTGCTAACATGGAGCAGAAAGAGTTCAAAAATTGGGAAGCTTATAGAAAACGGTCGGAAATAGGATTATGATTATGAGAGATGAGGGCTATCTTCTTTTAACTACAAAATTTGCAGTTCTTTTTTTGGACCAGAAGTGTTGTAAAATCTTTAGTTGTCAATCTTTAGTTGCTCCCGAATAATCTAACATTGATCTGCTTGCAGCGCGGTTAAATTTGAAGCATATGATGACGAAAATGGTGGAACAGAAGCGATTGATGTCCCACCTGGTGTTCTTAATAACGTAAATTTTAAAATTTACTCATGATTTTTTCGTTCTTATATTTTGGACTGAATGAAATTTTCTTGTAAACTTACTGCTAACATGTAGTTAGGTACAAGTTCTTAAAAGTTTATGCTTGTTTATAGATTCCTCCGCCAGGTTTAACAATACCGCCACCTCCAGTTGCTCCAGTTCCTCTTTCCTCCGGGCAGCTTGCGGTAGAAGGTTCTGTTGAACTTCAGTCAGAACGAAAGCTAAAGGTAATTTTGGATCAAATGAACTTCGAAACAAAGTAGATCTGAGCAATAAATTCTGTTGGAGCTGGGAATGTATTCTGTTTTCTTTAAGGCACGCCTTTTTATGGAGAAAATTCTGAACGAGAAACGGGCTGCAAAATTGAGAGCTCAAAATGAGGAACAACTGAAACGTGAAAGCGAACTTTTAAAAAAGTACGAGGAAGCACGTGCTAGTGTGAGTCCTTTCTAAAGGAATTTTTTTTTTAGTAGTGGAAGTTTTAACAAGTCCTTCAAGCATTTCTTGAAATTCGTATGGAAAAGTGTTCCACTTTTAGTCAACTTCGTCGATCGCCACAAAGTCGAAAAATAAACGCGATATGAGTGATGTGGAAGTGGTCTTTTCAACTTCCGCGATTGATCAACTAATTAATTCGCGAATCGACAAAGTAATCAGCGAAACGTTTAAAGAAAAGTGAATAACCTTATTTCAATTTAGAATTTTTCTGCATTTCTATTAGACTTTCTAACTACATTAATAATTTTTTCCACTGCTGTCATTTTCTACAGGAACCATGAAACTATATGCTTCAGGTTAGTTTCGCCAAGTTATCATTATATTTTATATTTTGAGGAACGCCAAATAAATTCACAGGTTCGAAGGGTATCTATCTAGACACAATACGTATATTTAAAATGACTTGGATTCAGTTTCCATCATTCTCTACATTTATTGGCATCCTGAAAAGTAAGATTGCAGGAAAGATTCTAAACATTCAAAAAGTCATCATCACAAAAAAGAAAAAAGGAAGAAGCAAGAAGGAAAACACGATGATAATCGATTATTGGATGAGTGTGGCAGTAAATCAGGCAAACGCCATAGGAGGTTTGATACTATCAGTTAACATAGGAGGTTTGGACATTACAAATTATATTTTCATCTTTATAGGTCCTATTTCTACAAATATACATGGTCGTCTTCCCAACGCAATTTGTAAATAAAGCTTGGTGTTTTGAAAAGCACAATTTTCACGGGAGGGCAATTGGCGCCAACGACTTACGTAAATCACGACTAACTGTAGCTATCTTCAAAATTAAATTTTAGATCGCGTGAGAGTTCTAGTTCGTCTGAGCGAAAAGTCTCAAAAAGAAAAAAAAAGAAGAAACGAAAACATCGATCTCGTGGTAGCGCCGATGAAAGCAGATGAATGTTGTTGTATGTTACATTAGGTTTACTGATATATGCTTGTAATTTATGCTCAGGTTTCTTAATTTATCATGAGAAGTAATAAATAAAATGCTACGATTCTCTAATGTCCAAAATTTATGCTGTGAATTCATTCTTATTTTCATTTAAAATATGCGTAGTAAAATCATGTTTGTTGGGGAAATATCTATCACCTTTTGAGGAAGAATAGTTCAGAATAATAAATAATGAACATTAACTGGAATTCAGAGAATCCTTTCGAAGTCATATGACTCACTTCACCTGTTCTTAAATGCTAGATGATTTGATATTCTATCATAACAGCTATAACACCAGCAGTACACGATTAGATTGTTGTATTTTTATAGAATATTGCTGTTGAAGAGATTTGGAGGACCCAGCTGTGTTCATGACTAAAAATCCCTATTTACAAACAAAACTGTCTAGATGTCAACGAAGAAGCCACTGATAAGTTGTAAATTATCGCACATCTTGCACCATTCTTGATTCACATAATTTTAAATTTCTTTATTCGTAATATCTGGCAATTTTTGAAAACATAGTAGTAAAAGAAAATAAAATATAGCAAAGATTTCATATGTGTTTGTGGTATTATTTCACAATTGCACAATTTGTACTTCGCAGAAGTCAGCAACTGATGTTTGCGAATTCTCTTTTGTAAGATCAATCTGTTTGAGATCAATTTTTAATTTCATAAATGTACCACTGCTTCCACGTACTAATGCATTGGTATTCACAAATACTGAACCGGCAACTACCTTCAAAACAAACTTTTGAGGCAGATCAAGATGTAAATTTAACATGTCAGCATGGAATAGCTAATTTACATTAATATATGCAAAACTATTAAGAAAGTACCTTAACGGTAGGTGCAAGTACCGACGGCATAATAGTAACGTGAGGTATTGCAGAAAGTGATGTGCGTTCAATAGCTTGACGAAGTCGATAGGTAATATCATGAGCTGCAGGATACAATGGATACAAAGAACGCTGCCTGCAAAGATCATTCATTAGAACATGTATGCAGGAATCTGTTTTCAATGTAAAAGAAATTTGGAAGAAACTTTAAAAAAAGTAGTAAACGAATTCAAATGCATTATTCATACAATGAATTTTCGATTATAAGACTTGACTTATTTTGATAACACTCCCACTCATAATTGGCACCCATCAAGGACAAGTGTCTACAGAAATAAAATCAGGCGAAGAAATTCTTAAATTGGAAGTGATGGTTAATATCGTAAACTATTCTCCTAAATTAGCGTTTGGCATCATTCTTCAATCTATAAAAAGATACCAGTATTTCATAAAAAAGGACTTTTGTTGTACCATTAAAAAAATGCGATAATTTGGAGCTGGATTTTTACTCAAACCTAGACACTTTGAAGATTAACGAAAGTCAACTGCAGAAAACATTTTCAGTTCATCTTATAAATACAGCCAATTATTAATACCTGAACAAATCTCGAACAAGTCGAGACATTCGATCATGGTCTTCACAACTATCTGAATGACCTATTTCATCTCTTCCTAAATGCTGGATGATTTCCGACGCTGTTACAGCAAATTCAATACCAGCAATCCGAACGATGGCAGGATCCGGTAAAAGCAGTATATTCTGTAGAGAATGATATTGCATTTGGGGAGGTAATGTAGAAGAAATCAGATTCAATAATTACAAATTACACCACTTCATGTTTGGTATCCCTATGGTCCATTTTCTTCTTCAAAAACTCTCTCATGTGAACAGCTTGGCAAATTTTTTCTTCGAAATTACACCACTAAAGATTGGTCAATGTATATTAATGTGCATTAATGAATGGTGAATGAAAGAATCTTGAATTGTATAAAAGAAATCAAAGAAACTGCTTGATGCATTAAAGTCGTAACCTTGCTTAATTGCTGCTTTCGTTGTTTAAGTGAACGAAACGGTGGAGTAGGAAATGACGGTCGTATTGCGGCATCTTTTTTTCCATTTGGAACTATTAACACTTGAACATCAGTTCTAAAAAAAAAAATATTAATAAATGCAACTGGATGTAAGAAAAACTAGTGTTTCATTCTAAAATGCCTTTGACGTCTGATTAATATCCCAACAGAATAAGTGTTTTACTTCAAATTATTATCATCCCTAATCTAAAAAATTATGCCTCATTCTTTTCGTATGTAAAGCAGTGTCTAATTCCGCTGTAAACCAAAAAACATGATACTTCCTAAATTTTGATTTACGAAAGAACAATCTTTTTCACTCCTTATAATTTGTAAGCAAGACAATCTTCTTTATATAAAATATCAGTTACACATCGTTTTGTGCTTCTGTAAATAACAAACCCTAATAAGACTTCATCAATTTTTGCAAGAAGCATATTCATAAGATCCTCGTATGTATAACAACACTGAGGTGACTTTACCACTGGACTTGTTCGATCAATGAATGGACCAATCTGAAGTTCTACAATTACTATAACTATCAAAAGCGCATAGAATTATTAAATAATGGAAAAGTGACTAACCAAAATTAGAATATTAGGTCGCTCCTTCTTCACTAATTCCATTAGATCGCAGAGCTGTTCATAAGAGAGAGTTTTAGAAGAAGTAAATGGTCCACAGGCACACCAAACATGAAGCAGATCTGGAAAAACCATATTCACATCCCTAATTTATATCATTTCTGCGATAAATGTCTTGTAAATTCTACTTGTTGAAGGTAAAAGTATATCGAAATAATACATCAAGTCGAAAATACTGACTTCGTGTAAATCGATTTCGCAAAACTAATTCAATGACAGATCAATGAAATTAGCATAATTTAACAGAGTAATTAGTTGCTAACTGTTTCTACAGAATTGTCTTGACAATAAATAATGGCAAGACCTTACCAATGTTTGATTGTTTATTAAGAGATGCAATCGATGGTTCTTTGGGTTCGAAAATTTCATCCGGGAAAAAATTATCACCAACAAAAGCTCCATGAAGTGAAACAATCCGTAATAGAAGAAAATAACTAACAATTAAATGAACAAGAAAAGTATAGAGTTGATAATGAAATAAAATAAATTTATCCCACAACTAATCTAATTCAGAATTATCATAAACGACAATACATGTTTGGTTATGTATCCCATTTACTGATAAACTTCTTTTTCACTGATATCCACTAAATATAAAATGGATAAAATATGAAAAACGAAAAAAAAAAAAAAAAAATTACCTTCCCAGAGAACAATGAATAAGCTTTAAGATTGCTCAGATCAAGGTTTATAACAGCAGCATTTTGATCAATGCATTGCAATGAACAATTTGAGGCATCTAATGGATCTTCTGTAGTATTCACGATGAATCCCGAATATATGTTTCGTATCTGCAAACAAATTTCTTCAGTGTTTTTTTACGAAAATTTTTGTATTTGTAAAAAATGACACTGGCTACACTTAAAATCAAAATATTTTATTGAATAAAATTTACTATGTAAAAGAAAAAGTATATATCTCGAATATATATGTTGGCCTGAATTCAACACAACAGTGTAGAAGAAAATTTAGAAATGATACAGCATAAATAAAATTCTACATTTATTCTAAAACAGTTCAATTCCGAGAAGAAAAGGACATACTAATGATAATGAATCTATTTGTTCATCGTCAATTAATGTTGCGTTTTCTTCTTTGATTATATCGCACAAATTCTGTACTCGTGTAACAAGTGCTTAAATTAGGTCAGTGTACTAGTAAAGATCCACAAAACATTATGGATTCTTTTCTTTCAGAACAAAATATATGGAAAGGTTCACTTAACTTACTCCACTTAGCTTAACCACAACGCTTGAAATGAATGTAGTTACATGCTAATATTCCTGTAAACTAAATCAGTTCACTAAATCATTAGATAATGCCGCACTAAGAAATTATCAAAAAGTTCCCTCTATTCACCTTCAACTTGCTCCAAATCTTTCTCTGCACCATATTGTAACAAATTTTTGTAATCATCAGTGTAGAGCTTTTCCACAACAACTTTACATTCATTGCTATCTTTAGTTCTATTATTTATTTTTGCAGTGAAATTTTTGCCTGCGAATTCTACGACAACTTTGCCCGGATTTTTCCGATTCTGATATGCAGCATCAGATACGGATTTCCTGAAACGAATTTTTCCGATTCTGATATACAGCTAGTCGAAATAAACAATTTGTTGATCTTAATACTAAATATTATTTACAATAATCCAGTCAACACAGTTTTAAACAGAAAATTAAGAAAATAATGCTCCAACCTGATTGGTGTAAAAGCCAAATATTTTTTAGGCAAAGTGAAAACATCGTTCGAAAAGTTTGCAATCGTACTACAACTGTCAGCTATACTACTCTCATCAAGCCATGAATTCTTATTATGTTGGTTAAATGCAATTCTGAAATTAGATATAAAGAAAACCAACCACACAGTACTAACTCTTTACCTTAAACAGATATTTCATTAATCGGGATGAATGTCTAGGATATATAAAGAAGTACAATGCAGCATAATGTTTATCTAATTTTTTCTGATACGACAACATACCAAAAAATGAAGCTATCATAAAAATGATGAATAAAAATTACTTCATGTTAGAGATACTGAACGACTCATTCTTGAAATTTTGAACAGCTCTTTGAAGAACCTATAAATAAGAACAAAGTTAAATTATAAAAACTTTAAATCTGTCGGGAATAAAGATAAAAAGGACAACATCGAAAATTTTGCACCAAAACTTTTGTCTTTATTAACACCCTTCATCTACTCTTTTTAAATTCATATTATATGCATCAAAAATTTAATAAAAATTTGCTGTTTTATGTTGTATTAATTAAATTTTATAACAATTACCAGCTGTTCAAAATTATCCAATATCGAAAGATTCACATGTGTCTCCTTTTGATTGGTAGCAAATGCGATTAATTCACTTATAAAATCTTCACCATTTTTGCAATACTGTTTGGAGAGATCATTTGCTTCAAATAGAAACACTAATCCCAACAAATTAATTCAAAATTTAATCCCTACTGTTTTATCTTTATCTGTAATGCCATTTATATACAAGCACATTTCTTTTAAATTCAGAATCTTATGACGCCGCACATGCTTTCGACGTATGATAGATATTAAAGATGGAATATCACATCGATATATCACAAATGTACCATGCGTAAAATGACAGAAAATGGACCTTTGGCGACAAATACCCCATCAGGATCATCTTCAAATGTGTACATAAAGTCTGCCAGTTGTTCACTCAGCCAATTCGCCGTCATACATCCATATGATTCAGCTATATCATCCATGACGTTGTAAAATTATATGAAATCCTTCCAAACCTGGAATCTACTTCTAAAAATCACTCCTAAACCTAAGCTTAAGTTCTTCCGTGACCCCAAACTCGCAAAAAGTTAACCCTTATCCAAAACTTATCATCCCACCATTATACACCTACTTCTCCCCAACCATTCCCAACCCTTTTTCTCCGCTCCCTGTCCCACCTGTCACCATAACCATGATCTTCACCGTTTTTTAACTTAAAATTATCCGAGAATCTAAAAGTTTGCGAAATCGCTTAAAATAGTATAAATCCGTAAAAACATTCTAAAATTTATTTTTATAACAAACTGTTTACATAAATACGCAAAAACAAAAATTTGTAAAATTGGATTGTTTCAAAAGCAATTATACATGAACAGCTAAACCACAGTGCAACGTGTTTACGAGCAATAGCGGCGACAAAATTTATACAAAACTCTATAGTTCGAAACAAAAAAAAAAAAAAGCTTCAAATTAATTTACAAAAACATACAAACATACAGTAGACAACATGAAAAGCAAATATCCTATTTAACATATACCAAATGTTCCTAACTGTGAGGTAAGTGAGATATAATGTTAGTCGTATATATATGTACATATAGACCAACATGTGATTCGTTAATTGCTGGCGAGAAAACGAATACACAACACAAATTCCATTTTGGTTATGTACAAAAATATAGCAGTATAAATCATGAATAGATTTTCCAATTCAAAAACTACCTGGCGCAAAAAGTGCTGCAAGTTCATGTCCAAGGATGTCTCCGATTTATGCGACTATGATGACAGTAAGAAATCAAATTTTGGAAAGAAATTTCATCCTACAGAAAATAGTATCTCCAAAAACGGTATTTACAAAGATAAAAATGATATTTACAAAGACAAAGAAGGATGAAATATGATACTACGAGAAACCAGTGCACCGAGCTAAAGCACATACATGAAATGTCATAAGTTCATGTCCAAGGATTCATCAAACTTGTTATTGAGCGTAGATATAAAGCACATTTCAAGTGTATAAATGAATCCCTGAAGAATGGTAAGAATTCACTTCTAATGAAATGGAGCTTGGCGAAAAACTACACAGTTAATTAGATTTCCGCTTTGCCAAGTTATAATACAACAAATTCAACTTTGGCAAACAAAAAAAAGAAAAGCAAACATATGTAGAGACACAACAAAAAAAAAGCTAGCAGCTTTTAAACCTGAAACAAATAGTAGTTATTTACAATGAGTACAAAAAAGTCATGGAAAATGCGAGTAAATTGATGTACAATGTCAGAAGTAAAAACAGTAAAATCTTAAAAACTATTTACAGAAATTAAAGGACTATGAAATATTAGCGAATCGCGCATTGTTTCTATTTACGACAAAAACGTATCTCTCAACATTTTTTTGACCGCAGATGCACCAATTGTCATCAAAGTGCTTTCCGTATTTTGACCTATAACTAACAGCCATTATAATACTTCACACTGCACTACCAATAAACATTAGCAAGAAAGTACTGGTCGGTTTCAATATCTAAAATAAAAAATCCGCACAAGATGATACAAACATTTACGACCACGAATCTTTAATGACTGATCATTGAAAAATGATTACATACCCGAATCGAGTGGATGTTTGACTACTCTGAAAAGATACGGCTGACATTCAAGAAAACTTGTATCAAAAATACTCGTCACTTCCGAACGTGCAGGCATTTGTGGCATGTATTGAGGTCGACTAATCAGTGAGCATGCTTTCAGCACAATCTCTGATACCGAATCCGCTACCTCTTCTCGCATTCGTTCCCAGTATTCTAAAAAATCGTTTTAAGTGCGAAGTTATACAGAGATTTATTAAGACTGGAAGAAGCGCCTCTACCACTTCATATCATTTACAAAAAGAACAGGAATGCTCTGAAATTTATAATATAAAAAGATCAGAAAAGTGTAAACTCTTTTAGTAAAGATCACATCATGAAATTCAATGTTTGATTCTCACTTGCTTTTATAGCATCTAAAACTAGAGATTTTAATAGTAATGATGACAAGACGTAAACCTAAGATTAATCGATATTACAATGAAAAGGTATTATGGTCACCCCGTTCTTTGATTCTAACTACACCGAGTTGCATCTGCCATATTTCCCATGGGATTTCGTAATCTGATAACGGCCATGACCGTTTCTTTTTTTGATAGAATTCTAAATCAATCCTGAAATAGGTGTCATGTTAAAAGCATAAATAAAACTCCACAAAATAAGTTTTCAAGAACAATCTGGAAGCATCATTTTATTAAGTCTTGAAGCTACCAGTGTCGTTCATAAGTAATTTTATCTATATTCAAAATCCTAAAGTGGATTTCTCGGCATTGTTCAATGTCGCAAAAAAAAAAAAATCGTAGTTTAATTTTCAGAAAAAACTATAGCCAACTTAGCATTCAGAAGTGGAGTCCCATAATAAGTGGGCAGTGATACTGGTGGTGGAGAATAGAAACGAGGCGCGGCAACACTTTCAATGGAATGCCAAATACACTGCACGAAAGAATCAATTTCCTCATGCAAGCATGAAACCAGTTTTGGACTATTTACACGTACCTAAAAGTTTCAACCATCAACTTTAAGGAAGCCTTAATTATATAGAAAAATATATGAAAATGAGGGATCAAACAATTATTTATATGATGCATATTTTACTTTCGCAATAGCATTCCCATCATAAACAGTTTACACATGAAGCTACTATTAAATAAATTTAAAAAAATTCCATCTGTTCATGTCTATCTAAAAATGAAATCAAACTTACATAGCTTAAATTCAAAGTGCTACAATCCACTTCCTCAACACCAATAGACCCGAGTTGAAAGTTTATTTCACTAGTATAATGCATCTGTAAAAAAAGTGACTGCCGAGCTTTTATCTTTCAACGTCTATCACCTTTGGAAATCAGAGAAATTATTCACAAAAGTTGTCTTACTGAAAACGAAATCACTGTTTTCATTTCTACAAAGAAAAAGCTAATGGGTCTTGGATATATCATCTTCGATTAAACCGCATTTGTGAAAAAAGCGAATACACATCTACTTTTCAAAGAAACAGAAATTACTTTAGGCACGCTCCTGTGCAAAAGAATAGTGTGGAAGACTGTTGAGACTGCATCTCGTACCTGATGTTCATCAACAGTCTAAAAAGGTATTAAACAAGCAAGTTAGATAAACAATTACTAGGTAAATAAATATATTTATATATTGTATTTTCTTCCTTATTCTCTAAATATTTACATAATATATTTTTAGCAAAATATGAAAAAAAAGGAGTCTTCTCAGAAAGCATAATGTGTTGTAAAAGTACACAGAGAAAAAATGACTTACTAACTGGAACTGATGATTGCGTGCATTCATACGAGAATCTGAAAAATGACAAAAATGAAATGAATAAAAGTTTTATTGGTGATGTTAAACATTAGCTAATAAGAGTAAATGAAGTTAAATTTGAAACATAAAATTTTGTATCTGTATATCTGTTTCATATCCCATAATAACCCACAGAAATTCAACATTTTCTTTATATTCAAAGTTTCTTCCGTAATATATTCCATATAAGACAATACATTACTAAGACAAGAAACTAAACCTCCAACAGCTATGAAAGCGAAAAAAAAGGAGGATGAATAGAAGCCAACGAGGAGAAGCCACACTCGCACGTCATGCTTAACATGAAATGAAAGTATGCTACACTGATTGTCGCTTTACGACATAACTTTGCTTCATCCACGGAAAGCATATTAGAGAGAAAAAACTAATATGGGAATTAACGTGGTAAAGTTACTTTGAATGCGACATGATTTGATGTGATGCATCACGTAGCAGTATTCTTTTTTTTTTGCATATTCATAAAATTTAGTATAAAATGGTAGGAAAGGTTGTTAATATGATCAGTTAACTGTTCCATTGCAATTGTCAGGGTGATTTATAGTAGGGCATTGAAAGTATCCCAAACATAAAACATTCGCTATTGATTATTGAAAAAAAAAAAAGAAAAAGGATGAAAGAAAGAACTATGCTGAAGAAGAAAGTAGGCAACGGTGATTTACTACAGAGCTCCGCGGAGTATTTCGATGATTATCATTGCAAAACAACCGAATGGGTTAGATACATCATATATTCATCTTGCAACTTTCATTGAAGCATAACTGTGTTAATTAATTGGATCGATTAAATAAGTTTATTCCACCTACACACATACACATACATTTTTAATTTCTAAATAAATTGATTAAATGAAATTTAGGAACTGTATGAAACAAACATTATGACCCGTATTTTGAGTAATTAAGAAGACACTCAACTACTCTACAAATAGTTCAGTTGTAGCACTTTCATTGAGGACAACAACTCTTTTATGACCGTTTTACTATTTAATTATTAACACTATTTCAATTTAACAAACAACTAATTCTTTATTTATCCTTAATGAAATTCGAAACTAATTTCAATGAAGAGAAAATGATAAGTTTTAGAATGTTAAACAAATGAAGACAAAGACAAATATGGAAGAAGTGAAACAAGTTATTACTGCTTTAAAGGTTTCATTCTGAATATTCAAATTATTTACTAAAAGGAAAAAAAGGAGAAAAAAAGCAATAAATGGACAAAAATTTAAGCTTTCAATTTTTTGAGAAAAATAAAAGGAAAAAATAGATGTTTTCAAATTTTTTTTTTAACATTTATTCCAGTTTTTAAAAATCGTATTTTTCAAGTGTGAAACAATTTTTTATTTTTATTTCTTTTTTTTAAAGAACAAATTGATGGAAAGGCATTTAATGTCGAAGAAGATTGCAGAATTGGAAAAAATTCTGCAAAAAATCAATAATGCCACAAATGAAGTTATAATTGAGGTGTTATTTTCTGTCACATTTTTTCTTTTGACGATTGATAAATTAGAAAACATTTCATTAAATGAAGGAATACATCATATATGAATGATTGAAAGATTAAAATGGTTAAAAATGAATTAATCCAAATCTAATAATCAATATTATCAACTTATGTTATGGATAATTTGCAGATGAATAATCGAGTGGATGATTTAAATCGAGATTGGCAAGAACGATTACGGAATGAAAATATAAAATGGGAAAGTGATATTCATACATCAAACAAATATTGCGATAAGTTCGTTTGGCTTTTTTTTTAAAGCCATTTTATTATTAATTTGATATAAGATACAATCATTTGGATGCATACATAAGAAGCGTAAAATGACTTTTTGCTTTGTTTAATATTTCTTGAATAGATATTTTATAATTTTTAAATTATAAATTTTGCTTCTGTCAAAATTTTAAATTGAAAATTTCAATAGAATATGGTATCACTTTAGACTGGTTAGCCAGCACAAATAATAGCATAAAAAATGTCTGAAACGTTAAATTTAACAAAAAAAAAAAGACTTTGCGCAATTTCAGTAGACCAATAGAAACTCAAAATTTACAAGATATTAACAAAGTGATATGGCGAACAGAACGACGTCTTATTGAGTTAACCGATCGTCTAGCACCAATTCAAAAAATGGAGCAAAAATTGGAAGAAATTATTGAAGTATTGAAAAATGCTCCATGTTATCATCAGTCAACGTCCATTGCTACGAATGACTTGGTTGGTTGACTTATATTGTAATTTCATAATTAGATAAGATTAAGAGCTAAGCTAATGCACTACGTTTCATCGATATTTCTATTCGTTGATAATAAAGTGTAAAATATTAAAAAGTTTTAGCATATCTCAGAGAGTGAAAGTGTTAATACAGCAAAGACAGCACAAAATATGCAAGAGGAAAGTGTTACAAAAGCTCCTAACTTTTATGGAGTTGTTGAAATCGCTGCAAATTATTCTATGGTTATTGGCTATTTCATTTTAAAATGAAAATTTTTGTTCAGAACTGGGAGGTATTACATGAGAATCAAAGGTAATCAGAAATTCATGGGCATATGCAGAAAATATAAATTGAACATTTTGAAAGATTTGGTCATGTAATGTATACTTCTATATCTGAACCATTATAATTCATAATTAAAATGGTATAATCAATTAAGTGTCTTCGAAATCTGGAACGAGCCATCAAATCCTTGGAATCAATGAAGCAAATGTCAGCATTATTTGGTGTTTGTGTTGATGGAATATCAAGTGTTTCAGATGTTAACCATACTGCAAATGTACTTAAACAATTTGTTAACAAATTAAAAATTTCGGTAATTCTACAAAATTTTAACCTCATTTTGTTCAAATATTTGAATTAATTTGGACTTATGCACTAAAATTTTCAATTTCAGTAATTAAATTCTGTTCGGAAAATTTGTCAAACTTAAAAGAGAAAGATGTAATTGAATATTAATTTTAAAAACATTAAATATTTTGCTCGTATGCATTAGATAGAAATGATGCAAAGAACGGTGCAGAAAATATCAAATACATAGTTTCGTAGGAATTTATTGGAATTATCAAAAAAAATGAATGCCAAATTGATAAGAAATGAATAGATGTAATTTAGTGGAAAGTACAATATAGTCTTAAAATTTGAAATAGCAAACCTATGGATAGTAACTACTACGATAGGAGGAAAAGTTCATCTCAGTGAATGTTTAACCCTATCATATTAACAGTAAGTGACACTCTGGATTGTTACAAAGGTATTTAATATTTAATGTCCTGAAAAATATATTTCACGTATATATAGATATCATAATGATATAATTCTTACAGCTGCAGAAACGTAATTTGCGAAGTGATAATGTCTCGTTTTGATTGATATGTGACAAATGAAACTCTCTCTCTCTCTCTCTCTCTTTCATATATGTTTATATTTTCACTTGATCATTATCATTTATCTATTGTAACATCAAATTTGTTAAAAAAATAAAAAAAAAATAAAACAATAAAGTTTTAAAAAGTTGTCAAACTTATCAAATGTCGTAGTATAAATTGAAATTTTCCAATCAAAAAACTTTTTAACGTTCAAATTTATCATATGGATGAACAAAAAATTTTAATAGAGAAAATGAGTGTTTATAATTAAGATCGGTAAAAGTATTAATGATTAAAAATTTTTACTTTAAGGTTGTTAGTAAAAAATTAACTTATTATGTTTCCAACAAATTAGCTTCTCATCAATTCTAATAAATGCAAAAAGAAATAATATGTTGACTGGAAGATGAAAAAAGGAGTATGAATTTTTTTACAGATTGCCAGATGAATTATTTCAAAAACAAAATAGTTTCGTGTGAAAAAATCGCACATATATATGTAATTGAAATCGTTAATTCTTAGATTAAAAAGGAAAAAAGTCATTCAATATATTTTTTCCAAAAAGTAAAAAAAAAATTAAAAATAGCACAATATTGCAATAGCAATGATTAAAAAATATTATGGATGAAATGTCATTTTTTTCTTCCCGAAAATGATGATGTAACTGCCACAATTATTTCCTTTTTTCTCTTTTTTTTTTTTTGAAATTTTTATTCTTTCGTTTTTTGGTTTTTTATAACTGTTGAAAGATAAATATATGTCGTAAGATGCGATTTATGACCTACAAAAGTATGTGCTATAATCCAAGATAATAGTTCTCCATTTTAGTTCCTTTAAACTTCTTCTTTCATATCTTTTATCCACCAATTTTATTCCATCTATGAACAAATTTTTTTCTTATATTGGAAATAATTTTTAATTTCACTTTGATATATGTATGTATTAATGATGGTAGCAATAACAACAATAACAATAAATAATAATAATGACAATAATAATAATAATAATAATAATAATAATAATAATAATAATAATAAAAGTGAACGAATTCATTTAATAACTTTGTAATCTATAATTTTTCTATAACTAAATCTCACAAATCTTTTTGATTTTTTTTATGCTAGTATTCATTTTAAAACTGATTAAAAAATTAGACACATTGCAAAAAAAAGAAAGTAAAAATCACAAAATATTTTTAGACAGAATCAGTTTACATCTTTTGTTTATTTTTGGCAAAACCTGAATAGTTGTTAAACCAAGAATTATTTAATTTAAAGTCTCAAAATACTGAATATAAGCTTGAATTTCAATTCATTCAGCTAATAAGTTTAACCTTTTAATGACCATTTTTGCAACTTAGGCAATAGTTTTTAAAAAAGAGTAAAAAACTTTTTAAATGTGTATACTTTGTAGCATTTGAAGAAAGTTAACGAAGCGTACGTAAGGAACTTTCTTATAGACAAGTTTAGGTAGCTTGTCCTTTTAAATAAACTTGAAGAATATGGTATTTTAGATAAGCTTAGAAAACATAGTGATTAAGTAGGCATGTTTTAAATTTTGTATGACTTAACTTTTTAAAAGAATGAAAGAAAATAATTATAATAATGTTTCGTTAATCTGCAACTGTTTAAAAGTACATAATTTTATTGAATTTCAGGATGAGCCACGATGATGGTTATTACATTTCCAAGAGATCACTCCTTCTAATCATATTCGTTCTAAATGTATTATCTTTTAATGCCACAAACAGTGATAATATGCCATGTAAATGCATATCAGGATCAAAATCAAAATGTAAATTGACATGTTTGGATGGAACAAATAAAACTAACACGAATCACAACATAGAAAGACGAGAAATAGATTATGAGGAAGTTGAAATTATCGATGAACGAAAATGCAATAGCAAAAGTTTGCAAAATATAATGTTACAGGTGAGTAATTCTCTTATCATATCATTTTTATAGGAAGGAAGAAAATGATTTAAACTCTCTAATAGTTGATAATTTCAAAATTGTCGCATTCTTTTACATTTCTATAATATTTGCATTTGGAATTAGAAAGGGAAAAGATTTGGAAATATCCTTGTGTTATAACAAGAAATCGATTAATCGATTAACGAACAAGAAATCGATTAATTAATAATTAACAGTTAACAGTTAACGATTAACAAACAGTTCTTACTATAAAATATCTTTATTACTAATGCACCTTTATTGTCTAACATTCTTTTGTCTGTTCTAAAAAGAATTTAATTTATTTCTCATTAATTACTAATCCTTTTTTATTATAGTTTTTCGCTAAAAATAATCCATTCAATGTTTTTTTTTTTTTTTTTTTTTTTTAAATCAAATTTGTTTGCTTACTTCTAAGTTAGACTTAATTTAAAATAAAGGAAAATGAATTTTTTGATTGCACCAATACGTTATGTTATGAAAATGATTAAAGAATTGGTAAGAAAAGAGTAATAATTATTATAAAACAATAATTTTGCTGTAAACAGTATTATTTGTATTCTAAATGAGTGACATTTAATGGAAATTAATTAATTGTATAAGAACAATTCATTATTTAAATTAGTTAATATGTAACGAAAATTTCGGCATACCAATTAATAATTGAGATAAACTAAATTTTGATATGATTTTAACAATTCTACAAATTACTCAGAATATGGCTGGACAAACAGCAAAACAAGCAAAAACAAAAATAATGCGAGCAGCCGAAGCACTTCTTGGCGGTTATTTCAACGTTATTTGCGCTTCTGGTGATTTCTCTTACATTACAACAACTAGCCTTTATTGTTTACAATCTTTGGGTAATATCAATTGTTATGCATTTCTTACAGGAAATACTCGCCCAAGACTGAAGTAAAAAGATTACAAAAAAACTAGAATTCATTAATTATTGTGGAGGAGATGTCAACATCAGCTTCATTTTTCATTCCTTTCTATTATATTTTTTAATTTATATTCTCAGTAATTTTGTTTAATAATCATTAATCAGCAAAGAATAATTCGAAATGGAAAAAACAGTTATGTAACGAGTATGAATGAGAGGAAAAACCAGGACTTTATTGCTTGAATATTGTTGGTAATAACTGAACAAACACTTGTTTCAAACTTATTATCAGTCAACCGGGATGACGCACAGGAACTTATCATCATTATGTCCATTTTAACTCACTGAAAGTTTTGTGATTGACATGTTGATGATAACAAATATTGATCAGGGAAGACTGCCAACAGCTGCAATTATTTCAGCCTTATGCAAATTGATTCTATCTACCGTATCAGAAAGGAAATGTATTATGAAGATAGGAATGTATAGATAATCCTATTTTGTTAATCATATCCAATTTATAGTACTGCTGAAATGCAATAAAGTTTCATCCGATGTAGGCCAAAAGATTTTATGCAAAAGAATGGATTACCAGGGAAAATGTTACAGACAATCACTTGAATATAAATAATGGAAAAAGATTACCATTAAGTATTTTTAACAGAATAATCCGGAATACGGGGCAGTGGAAGTTCTAAGGTAGAGGAGATATGTAGCAAAATGATAAGCTCAATGCTATGCCAATATTAGTATTAATTTTTTTAAGAAAGAAAAGATTATTGAGTGTTACGAAATGTAGAGATGGAAGCAGAGAAAGAGAAACAGGGAGAGCAAGAAATATTTTAATATAAACTGTCATCACAAGAATCAAAAGGATGCGTACTAAGGATACCAGTAGTAAACATATCTTATAAGTTAAAAAGCAATGTTTTATAAATGTCTTACTTCGAAATATCAATAAAAGCGTCATTTCATCCAATAATTTACAATTACACTTTTTTCTTTGACGAAAAGATAGTTTATGTTATGAATTCTAATGCTTTTCAATATAATTTAGTAACATAAATTACAACTGTATTCTATTTCAGATACATAAGAAAGACATTAAAGCAAAAAGATTATAGAAATAAGCAGAGAAGGATGATATCTGCATCGACTATGCGCAGCTGTTCCCATATTAGAAAGCACTTTTGACTGCACTATATACAATTCTGAAAACATAATGCTTAAAATAATTCCAAATATAACAACAGCTTCTTATGCTTGAAATTGCATCGGTTGACTCATATACTCGTTCTGATTCTAATTTCAATTTAAGAAATTAAAAGAGAAACAATTGTTCACCTCTTTTTGCTAACTGAAGGTAATGAAGGCTTCATTTCCTCTTTATCCGCTGAACCAAGTAATTTTTTCATCTGAAAGTAGTATGAAATATCAAGTACATCAAGTTTAAGTAAACAAATTTCAACCATATTATAGGCATCTCAGATAAAAAGGAAGACCTAATATGAATTAAACATTATGCAAAGTACACACTTGCTTATCTTGATCTTTGACGCGTGCATTAGTACGTTCAGCTTTAACTTGAATTCTATCTAACATTTCATTCTGCGAATCAACTTCCTCGCCAATAGCTTTGCCAAGCATACGTAATCGAGCCAATTGAGAACTCATTGAATCTAAACCCATCTTATATTTTAAAACATTATTAAAATTATATGGGACTGTTAGAACAAGAATGAAGAAATGTTTTACTACCAAGATTAGAATCAATTTCATTATCCATCGCCTCCCAGCGTGTTCCTTTGATTGCAGCCCGTGAACTCTCGCTTAATGTTGGACCCGATATACATACGGCACCAGCATAACTTGAACCTGCTTTAGAAACATTACTTAATTTATCCACAGTATTTTCAAGCACTGAATCCGATTTCGACGGAGCCATCTGCAACCATATTATACATATAAACTTGTGTACACACATATATGATATATAAAATTAATATGCATTACTAATTACCATGAATCATCAATCAATTGATAAACAATATGTATTAGATAAAAACTGAATTCAAAAATAACGACAATAGTAATAATAACAATAATTAATGACAATAATTCATAACAAAATAATCCACAATAATAATAATAATAATAATAATAATAATAATAATAATAATAATAATAATAAACAACAACGATTAATAATAGTAATAATAATAAAATAATAAAAACAAACAATTTTTAATGTAAAAAGAAAAAAAAAATCATCGTTTTAAATATTTTTATTCATTGCTGGCCTTTCGCCCAATTACAAGTTTCGAAAAGTAATGAAACCTTACAGATGACTCCTCTTTTGGCGCACGAGAAAATTTATTTCTGAAGAAACCGCCGAAGACAGATTTCAAACTGTTAAGGTTACGCTGAGTCATTTTCGTTGTTCTATCAATATCATCGAGATTCTTTTCCGTATGTTCTAGCTTCTCCCTTTGCGTTAACAAGTCCTAAAGCAAAATCATTTATACAACATATAAAAAAAGGGGTCCAACCGCATATTTTTCCAAAATAAAAAATGGCAATAAATCAATACTTGTGCAGTTGCTATGCCAATTTGTTCACTTTGTTCTAAATTCTTCCTTGATCGCTCTGTGCTATCTAACGATTCCTGCATGTAGCGTTCCAGCTCTTGTTCATAAAAATTAACATCATCTTCTATACTGTTACCACTATTGTTAGAATTTACCGTTGTATAACTTTTCACCGGTCCTACAATCATATAAATTTTAATTCAAATTATGAAATATGTTTAGTTTTCTGTTTCTTTTTTTTTTTTTTTTTTTTTTTACAAAAATATGTCCATTAGAGACATTTTAACAATTTCACCAACTGAACGTAAGATTTGAAAACACTACACTTTTAAAAAGATTCTTTCTACATATAAGTCTTTGTAAGTAATTACAATATTTGTAGCATATGCCACCGGAACTACGCATTAATTGGATATAAACAATTGTGTTTTGCAGACGAGGAAAAATCAATAAAAAATGAATAAAATTTGTTAGCACTCAAAAAATAAACGATGTGACTGCATCACAGTTTACTAACGATGAACAGATACTATTCTTCAGGAATATTTCAAAAATTCTCATCCCCAAATTATTAAAAAATTTATCAAAAAAAATTCGACGAATATGAATACGCACTGAAAATAATCTCCGTTTACCTTTATAAATATTGGGATTTACATAATTATCGTCAAATGGATTTGATGACATCGAATTAAACAACCAATGACGTTGAACAATAATCTGGAAAGATTAATTTTTAACACTGTGACTTTTTACATCTTTTCTCGACGCTTCATTTCCATTTAAAGATTTAAAAAATGTAAAATTATCTAACCGCTCATACACAACCAAGCTACTGAATGATACAGCCAAAATCTACACTTCAATGTTCATTTGTGATACATCGTTCGTTACGTATAACATCTGCATTTATTCACCAACAATCATTCAACATCATTCATTCAAATAACAGAAAAATGGCAGCACCAAACAGCTTTTACGTCCCAACTAAAGTTTCACCATTTTATTAGTCATTGATACCCGTCTACACAATGACATTCAACAAATATATATGAACATAGCGATTACTTGTCTTCCTCAGCACATTCCTTCTTCTACCACCAAAAAAGTGGCAGTTGAAAAGATTTACAGCAAAAGGTATCACAGCTCTCGCAATATACTTGCTACAAACCATTTCAAGTTTTCGACTGTAGTCCTTGACCGAAGTCTACCAAAGAATTATATCAATGAATGGTATATCCTGAGAAACTAAGCAATACTTTGTTTATATTATTTGTGCCAAATCATGCTTACAAAACATCCTGACTTAGAGCCAACAACAATTTGCGAAAAGATGAATGCGTGTTTGCCATAAATTTTTTCATTTACATTTCATTACACTATCCATTACTACCCCATCACCAGTTATTTAGTGATTATTCTCCATTTCCATTACGGTTCAAAATTCAACTCAATTTATCACATTTAAGATATGAAAATTAAATTTGAAATATAGCTCGTAAAATTTCTTCGCAACAATCAAAGACGACCTTTTATTCTAATTTTATTTGGGAAAAATATTTCTCACACATACACAGGCGTCGGAAATTTTGGAAACTCAGTCAAAAAACATAGATAAACACAAACAATGACAAATTAACATGTTTATTTTTTCGTCTCATTCTGTTCTAAATCCTCTTCGGCTGATAAGTCTACATCTTCAAGTTGTTCGTTTTCACTAACAGCAGATGCAGCAGAACTGCTTTCTACTGATATGCGAGATGCCATTATAGTTCCACTAGAACCTTGCGTTCCATCCGCTGCAACTCTCGGGAAAGTCGCTAAGCGACCGAAAACGAACAAATGCGAACCTAAATTATGCAAAGTAAAATAAAATTTTTATATTTCCGCGGCAATAATAATTTCAATCCACCGTTAAACTTTACCTTCATCGACATTTGCCCTGCAATATGCAAGCGAAGTTCGTGTTCCTAAACGCACTCGGAAATCATAATGACCTATAAAATATTTGAATGTATTGAAACACAAACCTTGATAATAGTACACATATCCTAAAAAATCAATTTATTATTCCTGATGACATCATCACTTATGCAAACAAAACTATCAGTTAACAATAACTTTATTACATATCTACATCTTATTCCTACAAAAATACGAAAGTAACCAGCAACAATGAAATTACCGGTAACGATCAGAACAAGTACTCCAACCAATTTGAACAAAATTTATTCCTAAATCTTGACTATTTCGCGATAAAACCGATAAAATATTATATAATAAATAATACCTCCAAATGAATTTGACGTGATTCGAACAACGCCAAATTTTCCCCCATTTCTAGTTGTCCCATAAAATGGTTTACTTGTTACTGTCCCACTAAGGCAAACTCGATTAACGCTACAATATATTTATATTTTTACAGACAAAGAATAAAGCACAGTCCAAAATGAATAGGGAAATAACTACAGAATCAATTACATACTGATCTACCAACTCAATAATTGTGCGGTTAACCAATTCATAAGTAAACCTAAGTCGTCATAAAAACAGATGACTAGTTAAATAGTTAATCAATCAAGTATCAGCTGATTAAGTAACCAAAAGATTTTTAATTTGATTGAAATCCTTAAAAATTTAAGAAACAAATAGTGTTAACGAATTAAATAAAAATATCTGCAAGATCACAGTGCAAAGTAATGCTCGAATTGTACAGGATACCTTACTTCCTGCGACTGACCGCCTGGGTCAATAGCTCATTAGGTCTCTCTGACGATGAATAAGTGCTTGTATCTGTAGGCTGTTGTAAATTGGCTTCTGCTGCAAACAATCGTCTGGAAAGCTTAAAAAAAATATCTTTCAGTTGCCTTTAAAAAATAAATCACGTATGAACACTATGAATCTATTTATTGCTTTTAATTTAACTCTCAAATCGATAAATAACATCTTAAAACAAGCTTGCCATACAAAAACATTAATATCTAGCAATTAAGTATTCAAAGAAAGATTCCTTTCAAAAACCATTTACGGAAATATAAAATTTATGGAAATGTAAAAGTTTATGTAATCGAAGAAACCAAAACCTGCTGAACTAAGGACACTCCTGGAGTATATCTTGACAATACTTCACGGAGCATTTCTTCAGAAAATCTCCCTATAATTATATATTACGTGTGCATGTATTTTTGAGAATATTCTATGGCCGAGATCGGGAATTGCACTCACTTACATCTCCTTTCTTATTCTGATTATAAGAAAACCCCTGAACGAATAGGACAGCAACTATATGGCCTAGAGAGCCTAGAGCCTGAAGAAACCACAATCTCCCACCACGTCAGCCCAAACACGCCCTCAAGTCCAGCATTTTAGGAGAGTTCAGAAAACTAATGGTCTGTACCACCATGTACAAGGAACTCGTCTCGCTGTATCACTACGGGCACATTCAACCAACTCTAAACTGAAGCTAACTCCCTTAATTTTAGGGAGTTCAGTTCTTTTTTCTTTCGTTTTGTAGTATTTTGTACACTCTTCTCGTTTATTATCAATCTCTATTAACTCATCAGAAACAATACTCTTTCCACTTACACTCTCAATCTATGTTCTATCTGTGACCGTTATACTACCTCCCATAACTTAACATATTTCCGTATTACTTTTAAATTACTTATACTGTAGTTAATTGTTTTATTTGTAATTAGTTCTTTCTTATGTATCTATAGGTATTTTTAATTGTGATCTAAAGTATTACGACTGTTTATTTGTTATTATGTATTGATTTGTTATCTATTTTTTGGCTGTTTTAGTTTAATTTTTAAAGTTTATAATTTGTTATTAAAGGATATGAAACATTTGTGTTTGTTTTTTTCAATCCATTTTTGTCTTTTATTTTTTTTCTATATTTATTTTATTTGGTTTCTTGGATTATTCTTGTATTTTTTTTCTTTTTTTTTTTGATTCTTTTGATTTTGTCCTTTATTACGAGTATTTTCATTTTAGGATTTGTTTGTATTTTTGAGTTCATAGTAGTTTTTTTTTTTTCTGATGCCATAGTGAAACATATGCTATGTTGATTCGATTATCATCAGTTATATCGTCCATCTTTTCCTAAAAGATATTCCTACACAACCTAATGTTTATACAACCGTTTGATACCCTTCTGATTACTATGTGCATAGATATGGTACCATATATATCAGATTGTTATTAATAGTTTGGGTGGTTGCTTTGTAGCACATTACACATTTTGTTTGGAATGTAAAATGGATGTATTTGAAATATATCATTTGCATTCTTCTGATGCTTTCTAAATTATATGGATGGTTTACAAGAGAATTGTAGTTGGGAATGTAAGTGTTCACTTACATTCCCAACTACTGATGTAATGGGTTAAAATTCATATCACTGATAAATACTGAATATTCCAGGAAAATGCTACAATTATTAGGTCGAGTATTAGTACGAGGGCCTATTATACAACGAGCCCAATTGCTACAAGTATGATTTTTTTCTTTACACTAAGTAAGGTATTTTATTAGGGAATCTTAATTGATGTTAGTGCAGAAGGAGTCGTTGTGATCTTAGTAATTTAAATATTAAGTTGTAGTTATTAACTTAGTTGCAGTCAATTATCATCATGATTCCATTGTCGATTTATTTCATACGTTGAATTAAATTGAATTTTGATTGAAAACTATGGTAAAATTCTTGTAAACTATGTGTTTATCATATTTGTGACAGAATAAATGACCCTTTGATTTCTTTTTTCAGCATGCCGGAAGAGGTTTGGCTACGCAAGGTCAGAAGGTGGTTGAGGAAATCAGTGATGATGGTGCCAATTTCCCTGCAGATGCTGAAGATTTTGCAGGAATAGAAGCTGATGCAGACTCCAGGACGCGTTATAATTTTGAGTAGGGCATTTGACTTTTTTTGTTATTCCAAAATGCTTTATGAATAAGGAAATTTCGTAATATAAGGGATCAAGAATTTCTTTTTCTTCATAGTTTCTAAAATTTGACATTACTTTCAGTACATTTTTTCTCCATTAGTTATTCTTTTTCATAATATATGTTTTTATAGTGAGAACCATATCGAAGTGACTGGTGTTGTTCGGGGACCACCGAGAGTATATACAATGCCAACCGGTCGACAATATGCCATTGTAAAGCTATCAACAACAAGTGGTATGTTGTTGATTTGTGTGATTTGATTATTATTATTTATTAATATTAAAAGAAAAAATTAAAATTCTTAATTTATTAGAAAAAAAAGGAAAACGAAAAAATTAAACCCAGAGAATTTTTTGTTTCGAATTTATGATTATGATTGTCAAGTATGCGCAAGATTTTGTTGAAGTTGATCGTCGAGGTTCTGGACGATTTGTCTCTTTTGTCGATGTTTTTGCGCCTAATAATATAGTCGACTATATCAAGGACCACGTCCGTGAAGGTATACTGTCTTAATTGTTTTTGAGTTACCTTCTTTCTTTGTTCGACAATAATTGTTTTAACGTGTCAGATTACTTAGCAGACATGTATCATAATTTTATGTTTCTATTAAAATCTCGGATATGCTTCAGGAATACAAGTATACGTGAGCGGTCAGCTTAGGAGTAGACTGCGAACAGATGAAGATGGACGATCATTCCAGGATGTACGAGTTCAAGCTAGTGGACTTTTCAAAATCGTTGA